ATAGTTCTTAAAAAATAAAAAGAATAAAATTGTTATCGTTGGACAACAGTGATCGCTTGAAGAATTACTAGAAAAAATTTCAAAAGTTCGGAAGAGACGGCTAGGTAAATTTTCTTATGGGGAAATACTTCTTTCGTATAAAGATTAATCAGTCTAATTAAATGCATATATCTACATAAATAAGAAACAGACTTGTACTCCATTTCTATTTTTTCTTATCATGTATCTGCTCTATTATATAAATCATATGTTAAATAGATACGAAATATTTCTGACATTGGAGGGCTTTAATTATTCGACAGGTTTAGACAGTTAAAGTCGACGTTCGTCTGTCGATGCCGGCTTTATATTTTTTAAAAATTGAACAAAGTTCCAACATGTTGTCACTGAACAATTAAGTTATGCCTGTCCATGAGGTTGCCTCAGCGGTTAGTGGATCGATCAAGGAGCAATCCACAAACTACCTGATTAATTCTCAAATCTTGTATTAATGCTTATCAAAACAAGTACCTCTAATTATTTCGATCTCAATGGAATGAGAGCTCGTGACTCTCCCGATCTCTTCAAATGGGTTAAAGGCAGCTTTTTGGTTGTCATATGTGTGTTTTTTTTTATTTATTTTTTTTTATATGGAATAGTGATGTAAATCTTCTGAAGATACAGAAGTCCAACTGCATGCAGACACCCCAAATACTCGTGGGGTCCAACCAACTATCCGGGGATACCTGGCTGACTGTCGTAGTTCACAAGTTGCTACAAGTTACTACTCAGGTCAAGAATCGACTGGCCACCAAGATCTTTTCGTCTTCTGGACAACCTATGACTCGCTGAGTGTGTTCTTTACAGCAAGTAAACAATTTGATGGTGAATTATGGAGTTGTGGAATCAAAGCGCATTAAATTAGATGCGACCCACATAAATATAACTGAAAAGTATTTAACTACTCAGCGATTATACAGAATACACCGACAAGCAAATACACACACAAAATACATATGTGTGTGTGTGTGTATTTAATGTGTGTCTCCGCCAATCTGCGGCATTTGGGACTGCTTAACCAAGAGTTAAGGTAACTTTTCAACTAGAGATGTGAACGTGTTCGTGCCGATGAATGAAATGAAATCACGAAAGCAACTCAAACTCAATTCAACAGCAGTGGGGTCTACAGATATGCTCTGAGTCGGAGTCATTCAAATATATGTGGAAGGTTCTCTGGATCATACACTATAATAGAGACCAGAGACTTTTAATTTGAAATAAACATTTCATTGGATCGATTACATCGATAAAAATCGATTTCTTTCAATTGGATTCGAATATTTTGACTTGACATAATATTGATTAGTTGTAGACTTTCTATTAGGATCATGTTTTTAATATCTAAGACATGTGCGAAACTCGGGTTCAGGGTCAACATTCTTATTTACAATGGGTTTGAAAAAACGAAAGTTATTCTAAGTGGAATTCGAAACATTTCAAAGAAAGTGTAAAGAGTTGTTCTTTCAAATACGAGGTAATTTATGGGAGAAGATACTGATTGAGTCCATAAATTGTATAAACATTCTCACCAACAAACTTGTAATTGAAATTGATCAAAAATTAATAATTTAATAAACAAATTTCGAAGAATCAAGCCAAACCACGAAGTTCCAAAATTTGTCCATTCCTAGTCAGAGCTGCGACTGCGGATGTGGCTGCGAAATCGGAAGTGGCTGCTGATGTGGACTAAGTAGTGTGCGAGCCTTCCGCCCACAAGGCCATAAAAAAAAAAAACAAAAAAAAAAACAAAAACTTCATTTATTCGCAAAGAAATAAATCTTTTAATGCACATCGGAGAGTCGTTATTCGGGCATTGTTTTCTCATTTGCCACAACACCTCCCAAAAAATAAAACACACACACACACACACACCCATATTGTTTGTGTGGGGGCATATGTCGTGTCGATGGACCCTTAAAGCAAAAGGACATTTTTGCCCAGTGCTGCTACATTGAGCAAATTGAGGAACACTGAATGGTTCCATGTATATCAATGATTCTAATTATGGAGCTGCCCGCCGCAAAAGTTTCTTAAGTATCGCGTGCATCATTGTTATTGTTTTTCCTCCATGAGTCCATGAGAAAGAGAGAGAGAGAGAGAGAGAGAGAGAGAGAGTCCGGCCGTGCCACTAAATTGCTTTGTTGTATGCCTCGCCATCATTGGCATTTGCCGTGTACTCTGTCCTCTATGCTCCGTGGCTCTATGGCCTTTGTCCTTTATGTCCTGTGCTCATTTCAGTGCGTGGGCGGTACGCTCATTAGGTTTCCTGTGTTTCGGTACGGTCATCCATCGACCATGCAAACTGTCCCACAAGGGTAGGCAGTTGTCGCGTTCCTCCCGTTCAACATTATGTTATGTGTTTATGTGCCCATTTCCATGTGTGCGTGTGTGTGTGCGTGTGTGTGTGTGTGTGCGTGTGTGTGACCTGCGAAAATGTCTGTGTCAAGCTGTGAGTAATAATGCGGAAACGCCAAATAGAAGGACAGCCAAAATAAACTCGTAACTTGCCAAGCACGAGCAGCTTGCCCTCCACACATTGAATAACAAATACTCTAACCTTAAACAATTAAATATCATTTTGAATTTCGATATCGAATCAATTAAATTTATATTATATAGTTTTAGTACTTCAACTAGTTTTTACCTTCAATTTGTTGATTTTAATTTCCGACTATATTTTTTTTTATTCATTTAATTATTTCTTTTACTTTTTGCGTTGTTTTGCTGTTTATTTTTGCTTTTGTGTTTGAAGCGAACAAATATTACAATTGTATAACATGTAATACAGCACACAAATACATAAATATTTTTTTGATTTCCACGGATTTGGAGGCCGACATGTGTCACAAAGTGGATGACATATGCGATTACATTGATTAATTCGGACTGACAAATGTGATGCCAAACAAAGACACATTAATTAGCCGTACGTGTCCATGCATTACAAAAGTATTTGTTGTCCTTTTTGCTTTTTGCTGAGGACTGTCCTTGCTGCTTCGCACTGGGTTCGTTTTGGGTTGGATTTTGTCAAGTCGAGCTGAGAATAGCATGAGCGTAATGGGTCTTGTTGTGCCTCAGATGGATGTGCACATGAACCACGTACATAAGCACATAATTACGAGTCTTTCTTGTTTGCTTGTCTCTTTGCTTTTTTTCCGGGTTTTGTTGTTGTTTTTGTTTTGCAGTAGCAGCGGGAAAGTTAAATTGCACAAATCGCAAACTTTACTATCACAAGCAAAAGTAATGGAATTGCGTAATTAACGAGACTCTTGGGTAAAGACTTGATGAAATGCCTCAGCTTTTGGCATTTACCAAGAGTTACATCCTCGAATAGTACCACATACCACATACTTTGGCTTATTTGTGCAAGAAGTTGTCGCTCTCTCTGCTAAATGGCAGCTTGGTAATGGTAACAAACAGCAGTTTGCATTATTTGACACAGCAATTACGAAAGGCAGGTAAATAATACAGATATCTCTTCATTATCTTATATTTATTCTTGAATTGCTTTATCACTTTTATAAAATCTTACTTGCACCCATTTGCTGACTTTATTTCCACCCGAACAAAAAAAAAGACTCTTTAATCTTTCTAAATTTAATTCCAGAGTCTGTTCGTCTGTCCGTCCGTCCGTCCGTCCGTCCGTCCGTCTGACGTATCTCAGAGACAATAAGAACTGGATACTTCAAATTTGTCTATCTCCCAGTTTCAGTCAGATTACTAGGAATCTTCTCCAATATAATGTGTCTATCGCAATTTTAAATGCAAACTTGGAGGATAGATGACGAGGATGTGATGCCAATCCTTAAACGACATCCAACAATCTGTCAACCAAATTTGGTGACGTTAGCTTTAAAATTACTTAATATTTAATTGTTTTCTAATTGTTATTTCTAGAAATTATTTAGTGAATGTTAGTCGCCAAACTGTGGTCTGTCTTCTATCTGTTGCTTAAAATGCAAACCTCGCTAATTTTGTGGAAGCTTGCAGTCGAGTTGACTTTTATGGCTGGAAAACACGCGCATGAATCAAAAACTGCATTGAAACCCAAAAAGGTAATAATAAAGTCAAGCCACAAGCTTAATCTTGTTGTAAATCATAAAGAAATTGAAACTCGTTCACAGAAACTAGAAATACTATCTGGACTATCTGGAAAGATGTAATAAAATATCCTAAATTTTAAAGCTTAAAGATCTTCCTTGAGTTCAGCACAAGAAAGTCTATACTGATTGATTGATTAATCGGACCTGAAAGCAACCGAATTGTTCACTGAAAAACATTTAATAAAAATTAATCATAATAATAATAATAATAAATAATAAATACATTTGTAAGGTAAATATTCTTGTCAAAATGTAAAACTGAATAAGAATTGGTTGTGTTGCTCAGAAACATCCTCCTTGTTTTTACTTAATGATACTTACTTATTTAATGATGAACTGAAAGACTATTTTTGAGTGAGAAAAATAACAACAGTCGGACTCCAAATTTGATGCTAATCAAAAATGTATATGTATACTCTGTGGGTGCCAGATGCGTTCTTCAATCCGAATATTAAAAGAGTATTAAAACAATTTTGTAAAAGACCAAATTTATAATTTGCTTAAAGTGGATATAAGTTTTTGAATAACGTGCTAAGTCCCAATCAACTTAATATATGTGTAAGTATGCATTAAACGTTGGGCATGAATAATTACATCATCATTTAAATGCGTGTAGTCTTCAAGTTATAATAAATGAGTATATTATTTATAAATAAGCTCTAGGAAAAAAAATATATATTCTTTTGAACTAAAAACAATAGTTTATAGTTGATGGTGTAACTCTCAAAGTATTGTTATTTCTAGGTAAACTCTCAAAAAAAAATTGTCAATAAATATGAGTATAAGCAATAAGTTTGTTGCCTCCTTTGAACTAAAGCAATTGTTTAAATTGGTCAACTCTAAAGTAGCTCAATCAAAGTAAATTCATTAAAAAAAAAATGGAAAAAAAAGCAATTGAACAAAATAAGGATAATGTGAGTAAATGCAATAAGTTCGCTGTTTTTTTTTTGTTGTTGTTGGAACTAAAGCAATTGTTTATAGTTGGTCGAGTTGTCAGCTCGTTGCAGGCCCATAAATTTCTTTTTATTCTGCTTATGCGGCGATGCAGCAACGAGGGTTCCAGCTCCAATGCGATCCGGCCGAGAGGGGCTCATGTCGTAGGGGGTGCGCACAACCTCGGGGAGGTGTGCATAATAGACGACCCGCTCGCTCCGTGGCGTCTCCCCTCTCTGGTGGGGCAGTGTTCTGGATGAGACGTACTTGTTGTTGTTGCTGTAGGAGTCTGGGTAAGGCATTGACATTTTTGGTTGGTCCACATAACTGTGATGTGCCTTGACGAAGTCTCTTGGTGGCGGCGAGTCCAGTTGCCGATTCGGATAGATGAGATAGGGATCGGGATATTGGGGCACCCTCGGACTATAACTATCATAGGGATCGAAACGCTGACGATGCACATACATATCTTCAAAATATTGCGGATAGGCGCGATGATACTGCTCATCGTATCTGAGGAATGTCCAAAATCAGATGCATACACACTTTTGAGTGGCTCTCAGCTACAATTACCTGTCGTAGCGTCTGATATAGGGATCATACGATCTGGATGGGTACATGGCAATGGACTTGCCGGGGTATTGTCCATACCAGGGCGACGACTCGACCGGCCGTCGAAGGACGAACTGCGCCAGACTCGGTTCTCTGCTGGCGGCCAGGGATGATGTGCTGGATGATGTGCTCAGATCATTGATATTGCGGGGAGTATTATCATTTGGTCGCCGGCCATTTGTATAGTAATCGTAGTCCGCATATCCGGCCAGAGGTTTGCCCATTTTCAGCTGCCTCGCAGCCGAGCCGTGGTCCAACAAATCGGTTGCCTCCACATCCATAATGCTGTCTGCGCTTTCAAGTTCCACATTCCGCTGGGTATGATCGTAGCCAGGCTCGGCGCCAACACCAATATAATCAGAATATGCAATGAGCATATTAAGGATAATTTGATCGGTTCCATTTCGATCCGTTCGCAGCTGCAATTAAAATCCAACCGTAAGCGCTGCTTGCCACACATCAACTGCTGCTCCAACTTTGCCACATATCAACAGATGAAGCCACTAAATGGCAACAATGACCCGGCGACATGCTAAGCTAAACTTCAAAGGGCAATTGTTTTTGTTGTTATTTTTTAGCTGCTTATTCTATTAAATCTGTGAAGCGGCAAACTATATATATTTTTATATATACCCTTTACAATTAAATCATTCTCAACAATCATTCGCAAACAATTTTTGTTTACCAACATTGTGCAGCAATCGAATACAGGTCAAAGTTTCTACAAAAAAGTGCATAGGAAAGAAAGAAAATATCCATGAAAATATAAAGAAATTTCGAAATATACAAACAAAATGTGTCTTAAAATTAGACAGGCTCTTGCCTATTTTTTTTTTAGAAATGTTTCCCGTTATTAAGAAATCAAATTCCACGAATCAGAAGAAATACTTTTTAACGAAAATGTCGAATTTCGCCATCAAATTGTACGCTTTTTTTCAAATTAAATTTACAAATGTAAAACTACTAATTTTAATAATAATATAAGTAACAAAAAAAGTAAATTTTAGAATTGTGTATACACATAAAAAGAATTATATAACAAACTGGAAATCAGAGATATTTTTTCTCAATCGATCTGAAGACAAAACTTGTCTATTTGTGTAGAAAACGCCAGTTAATATTATTCCAGGTATACCAAATATCATAGAGACTAGTAATTTGTATCGCTGGACATCTGTTTTGTGAGAGCATGTTGTTAATTTTGAACTGCAGACAATAAGAAATGCATTTGTTTACTCGGAACTCACACACAATAGCAGCTCGACATGCTCCGTTGACTCCGTTGGCGATTACTATGCCACATCAATAAGTGGTGCACCAGTGAATGGTGCTCAGCAAAAAAAGTATTAACATTTTGCATATTTTTTGTTTTGTTTTGTTTTGTTTGTTTTAAATATGTATCATAAATATAGAAACGTTGATGTATCTCGCTTAATAGTTATATAAATTAGTTTCAATAACAAATTAATAGTATATAAATCATTTGTAATGCTGGACAATTTGCAACTTAATACTCATAAATAGTTTTAAAAAATAATCATGTTTTGTAACTGGGACAGCGTTGACCCAAAGTGAACCGATTCGGGCAGATTTTTAATTTGCAACAGCCACCTTTGGCATTCCAGGCACTTTCTCTGACGATCCTCGCGTGTAACATCCACCCCCAATCCATTGGCTGCCCATGAATCGAGATTTTCTTGGATTGTTGGCAAGAAGTTTGATAAAATGATACGCAACGTATCGCAGGCTCTTGTAAAATGACTGCAAATTAAAGATATGATGATAAATATGTTGCGACAAACAATCAAACAATTTTTAATTCAACTCACAATTTGTGTTGACTCTGCAACAGTTCATAAAGTTCTGGTAATACAAATGTACAAAAGTCCAAGTTCCAAGAAGATCTGACATGAAATGGGCGGTTAAAAACGACATTGTTATGAAATTAGTCATCTTCACTTACGGCTTTTCAATTATTGCCCCTAAAAGATCAATGAAAATGGATCGGCCAGTGGTTTTTGCCAGCCTCAGTGCACCAAGAACATCGTGGGTACTAAAAAACAATACAAAACCATGCAATACAAATGTTTGTTGTTTATGTTTGGCATTTTTGATTAATGAAGCAGTAAGTACCGTGTAGAGCCTCGCAGCAAATCGAGACTGGCTTGGCGGTTGCTCAATTCCTGAAGTACTGCATCATGTGATCTTGAAAGCACATCAAACTCGTAATGATCATCAATGAAATTGCGATTCATATTCTTGCCGGAGGTGGGTATCAAATCTGGACGATAGTTCATCGCTTGCTAATAAATCATGTGAATCGTGAAAAATATACAAATATATTTATACATTTACTTTGAAGTTTAGTTTTTTTGTTTTTTTTTTTTTGGTTTCTTATATACCTGTGAATGTTTCTCCTGAGGAACCTTTGCCTGATGCGTTGGACGCATATCTAGCGTCGTACGTGATCTAATTGGCGGTTTGGTAATGATCTCAACGTTAATATTTTTTTGTTGTGTATTTTCCTTATAGTATTGACTTGGGGAGCCGATGATTCCACGCTTGTTTTTGTTGACCACATTCGACGAAGAGGATTTCTTGAGTACCATATTATCGTCGAGCTTATGCAATTCCATTGAACTAACTGAGGACGTCTGGCTAAGCTTATTGTTGCCAAATATTGCCGATGTTTGTTTAGTGTTGCTAATTCCTGTATTCCTTTTATGTAGATTTGTTGATGTCTTCTTAATCGATTTCGATGAGGCATTTATTGTTGATGCAGGTACTGCCGTCTTGTAATTGATTGCTATATAATTCAAATTTTGATTGACTGGAAAATCGCCGGCCATTTCATAATTATCATAGTTAGTTAGAATCGGGGGATTACTATCGTTCGGATTGTACTCCACATCGTGCACATTGAGGCTATCGGCTTTCTCAATTGAGTATACATTATGCTCATCCGACAACGAGCTGGGTCCATTAATCGACAACAAACGACCGGAGACCATCTCCATGCCCGAACTGTAATTGGTTTCAATATTAAATGATTGCATATTGTCTGGCAATCGGGCAAACTTGTTGTGCTTCAAGGTGGCATCAATGCCACCCGCATTGTATGCGGGCCCCATTGGCTGTGATAGATGCTGTAATGATGACATTGGCGATGCTTCGATCTGTTCCAATGCCGCTTCGCTAACAACTTCCAGACTTAGATTTGGCGATGACAGCTCATCGTAATTTTGACTTTTATCGAGCTCCAGCTCTTCATCGACTTTCGCCGGCTTGGATCCGCCGGCCAGCGACAAGCGAAATGTTTGATTGCCTCGCGAAAAGCTCTTTCGGCTTGTTGAGTTATGTTTAAAATTGGGCTGAGCATCTGACGGACTATAGAATGGTATCACACGATCAAGGCACACTGTATTTATTGATACAGTGTCAACATCATGGCAGCCACAAATCTATAAAGTAAATTACACAATGCTTTTAAAAATATATCCAATACTTGGTTGGTTTGATCGTTGGGGCAAAACTTACTAGCTTGTTTTTAACAACTTTCATGTCACCCAGCGAGACCCAAGTACTGATGATGTGATCCAATTCCCGATCTGGTTCCCAGCCAATCACAGATATTCCCGAAGCGCTGCCCACAAAAAGGCATTCTCCATTTTCACTAGACATAAGATTCAGAGAGTTAAAGATTAATGCAAAATGCAAAATCAAATCATCGATTTTGCCAAGTCACCTAAATGTAATGCATTTGATGGCCTCGCCATAAAAATGATTTGCGTGCGAAACAAGCTGCTGATGTTCCAAATCGTAGATGGAGACGGATCCATCGACCCGGCCAGCCGCTAGTAAAAATTCAAACGGATGGAATTGAATGCATGTGATGGCCATGGCAGGGGGCTCTGGTGCAAATTCCATTATTTGTTTGCTCTTGCGTATGTCCCAGATCAAGATTGATCCTTCCACTCCAGCGGATGCAATCCAAAGCCCATCTGGAGAAAACTTTACAGAGTTCACATACGATATGTGGCCCTTGCACACTTTAATGCATTTATTTTCGTTTTGTACGTCCCAAAGTCTACAAACGAAATGAAAAACACGCATTTTTGTTAATTATTTCATTTTGTAATGGAGAGGCAAAATTCAAATTCAATTTGTCTTAACTGTCGTTTTATTTGACAAACAAAAATAACTATCGAAACGAGCTCGATAAGTCACTCGATAGCGTGATAGCCCAGCACTGCAATTGAAGCAGAGCTGCCACTTCTTTCGCTTCAGTTGATCTGGCAACGTTCTCATTGTTTTCACTTTGTGCCTGGCCTATAATCCACAGTTGTTGTTCTCATTGCTTAGAAATTCGCTTATCAGCCCGCACCGGCCTTTGCACCACACACAAAGATTATCTTTCAGTTAACGAGCGAGTATACATAAATTAAAGCCTGATTATTCGTCTAATAGCAATAGCCGAAGAAGTCGAAGGTTTGTGCACTTTTATCTACCTTAAATACATACACACATACTCTCATATATATATTTATATACATGTGTGTGTAGGTATATGGTAATCATTGTTATTATATACTTATCTACCTTCGCAAGATAATTGTGTTGTTGAACTTGGATCAAACAGAAAACGCAATCAAATTTCTGTTAACAGACTGCATATATATTATCTTCATATATATATATTATACACTAATCGTACTGCTATCATATCAAGGAATTATATACTTGTTTCTTGTTGCGTGTTTTTTGTTTTTGCGATTGAACGTTGAACGTTGATCGGTGCAAAGGAACAGAAACTAAAAGAAAGAAAAGAGTTTTCAATTTATAGTCACCTCAGAACTTAATTGACAGTTGGCTAAACCGGTTTCAACACACTCGAGAGCAAAATGTCTGGGAAAGAGAAGCTGCGATTCGATGGCCGTGTGGCCGTTGTGACCGGTGCCGGAGCTGGACTTGGACGGGAGTACGCCCTGTTGCTGGGATCGCGCGGTGCCAAAGTGGTTGTCAACGATCTGGGCGGCAGCCCTAAGGGCGAAGGCGCCTCCCAGCGGGCCGCCGATGTGGTTGTGGATGAGATCCGCAAGAGCGGCGGCCAGGCGGTGGCCGACTACAACTCGGTCATCGATGGGGCAAAGGTCATCGAGACGGCAATCAAGGCTTACGGACGTGTGGACATATTGATAAATAACGCCGGAATATTGAGAGATCGGAGCATCATCAAGACATCGGAACAGGACTGGAATCTGGTGCACGATGTGCATCTGAAGGCCAGCTTCAATTGCACCCAGGCAGCCTTTCCGCACATGAAGGCGCAGAACTTTGGCCGCATCATAATGACCTCATCGAACTCGGGCATCTTTGGTAACTTTGGCCAGGCCAACTACTCGGCGGCCAAGATGGGCCTGGTTGGGCTAGCCAACACCGTCGCCATCGAGGGCCAAAAGAATAACATTCACTGCAACGTGATCATTCCGACGGCGGCCAGTCGCATGACCGAAGGCATCATGCCCGAAATGCTCTTCAATGAGCTGAAACCGAACCTAATTGCGCCCGTCGTTGTCTACATGTGCCACGAGTCCTGCGAGGACAATGGTGAGTGTTCTCTCACTGTATATTCACAATATATATTCCAACTACATGTGGCTCCTTTTCCTCCTCCTCTTCCTCCGTCACAGGCAGCTACATCGAGAGCGCCGCCGGCTGGGCAACCAAGGTGCACATGGTGCGTGGCAAGGGAGCCGTGTTGCGACCATCTCTCCAGGAGACAGTCACACTCGAGAATGTGCAGAATGCGTGGAACAAGGTGACAGACATGTCGAAGACGACACACTTGAACACCATAGCCGAGGCATCGGGCACACTGCTCGAGGTGCTCGAGAAACTCAACTCGAATGGCGACGGTGGCGCTACGGATGCCGTTGTCGAGGATGACTTCACGTTCGGCAACAAGGAGTTGATCCTTTATGCATTGGGCATTGGCGCCACAACGGCGAACAGCAACGATTTGCGGTTTCTGTATGAGAACGATGCGGACTTTGGAGCGATACCATCCTTCTTTGTGCTGCCCGGTTTGATGACGACCATGTCCAGCTCTTTGGTTGCCAACGCTCTGCCCAGTGGAAATGCGGATCTGTCCAACATACTGCATGGGGAACAGTATCTGGAGATCTGTGACGAGATGCCAACCAGTGGCACACTGCTCACCAAGGGCCGGGTATTCGATGTGATGGACAAAGGATCCGGCGCCGTCGTTGTGACCAGCTGTGATTCCTACGATGAAACTGGACGACTGTTGGTCAAGAATCAGAGCGCCATCTTTGTCGTCGGTGCCGGCAAATTCGGAGGCAAGAAAACGCCAATTGCCGGTGTTGTGCCCCTTGCCGCTGCCCCCAGCCGGCAGCCAGATGCGACAATTCAGTACAAGACGGATGTGGGTCAAGCGGCCCTATATCGTCTGTCCGGTGATCTGAATCCGTTACATATCGATCCCAACTTTGCTCGCCTGTCCGGCTTCAACACACCCATTCTACATGGACTGTGTTCCCTGGGATATTCGGTCCGAGCCGTTCTAAGCAAGTACGCCAACAATAATGGTCAGCTGTTCAAGGCAGTCAAGGTGCGCTTCTCGGGCCCCGTTCTGCCCGGACAGACGCTCAGGATTGATATGTGGAAGCAGGGGACACGCATCCATTTCCGCACCCTTGTCGTTGAAACTGGCAAGGAGGTGATCTCGGGCGCCTATGTCGACCTGAAGGACTCCAAGGCCAAGTTGTAATTTCAAATTCAGCTTGAGCAATTCCAAGAAGTGATCAGCATCATTTATGATATATGTAATACACATAACATAACAACAACAAAATCGGGCGGTGGTTCAAAATATTGCAATATATATATATATATAATATATTATTCAAATGTTACAATTTGTTGGTCGATTTGTTTATTTTTTTAATAAATTCCCACTTTGTTTTTAATAAATTCCCTTCTGATCTCTCTTACAACCAAGGAATATATATATATATATATATATATAGTCTATCAACGTGAGATATCAGAACCAAGTTGATCAGCCAGGAAACAACAGTAAATTCGATTCAACGACTTTGCCAAAAACATTCCTTATCTGTCCCAACTGTTAACCCGTTAAAATAAAAAACCATTGAATTCTGACATTCAGTTAAATATAAAACAACTTAAGAAATATGACAACAACAAAAAGTGTACATCCTTTGAACTATTTAACTTTTACTTTGGATCCTTAACGAAAAGTGATCTGATTGTGGTTTTTTAAAAGCGACATGTTCTTGAAACCTAGTCAAATTTACTAACTTGCGAAAAATCTAAATTTTTGAATACTGTTATGTATTATCCCCACTTTGACCACTATTTACAAGATGAATTAGAATTGCGAAAATTTGTAATAGAACTAATTGTTTATATCCCACGAAACTGAGAAGAGTCCAACGTGAGAGAAAGAACAGAAATTGTCGACAAGTGGCCAGTATGCATTAGAGTGAGACAGCAATAAGCATGTCGACTCTTTTCATACCATTGCAGCTGGATTGGATTATAAAGTTTGTTGTTAAAAGCAATATATATCTATATTTGTTAATGAAAATACGTGTATGTGACTGCAATATAGGTTGCTACTAATTTCAAGTGGAACTACAAACCGTTCCGGGAAAAATATAAAATCAGTAATCTTATTTGGTACACAGCATCAGCAATAAAAGCCAATGGCAATTTGTTCTATACTTGCTTGTATAGTGGATCGGTTGGCAATAATTGGTGGAGAAATGTGTACACAATATTTATCAAACTGTATAGATTTCTATATATGGGCATTTCCACAAGAAAGTCTACCGGAACCCAAACGGGTTTTTCTAATATTCTATTTTATTTTCTGTTGCAGCTTACCTTCACTTATCATTTATGATATATATATATATATATTATTAATATATGTTTTTACTTATGTCTTTTTGAGAACAAAAAAATTAATCGGAACAAATAGAGACTGAAAAAAAGTTCGATTAACGATAGTTTTCTAGCTTGCTTTCCTTGCACTTCAAAATATATAGAATATGTCCCAGTTTTTTAGAATTTTAATGAAAGCCTACATGGAAAATGGAGGAGTTGGAGTAGTCAGTAATAAGATAAGTTTAGCAAGAACACAAGAACTGGAAGTTAAACAATTTACATATTAGACAAATATACACGGAATATTCTTTAAAAATACATTTGTAAATGTGATAAGCTTTCTCATATCCCCAATTAATATGTTATTTTTAATATTGATAATAGCAAACGAGATTTTAATAAATATTACATGCTAGTCCCAATTAGAAATGTGTTTGAAAAATATAAATAAAACCGATGCAAGAATCTCAAAACGATGTCAACAGAATGTCCAATCATTCCTTAATAGCTTAGTATTAATCGCAGATTTTTGTATTTGGAAACGTATTGCATTTTTTGTCGCATTTTCACTGCAAATATTTTCCACTCACTAAATAGACCGAGTCTTTTGTCAATTTATGCCTATTGTTAACAAAGATATGTGCCTAAAAAACTGGACATCTAAAGCCAGATTTGATTCGATATGTGTGAAGAAAAAGTTATTCTCTCCACAGCTATTTAACATATGTCAATAATGTAATAATGTATAGATCGGAGAATGGACTAACCTGACCGTTGTGTCATTACTTCCGGAGACCACATATTCCCCGGATGGATTAAAATCGAGGGTTCGAACACTCTTCATGTGGCCATTGAGTGTCGAATAAATGGTTTGGGCATTCAAATCCCATCTGCGTATGATTCCGATATCATCAGCCGAGTATACAAAATTATCCTTATATGCAAAGCGCACGCAATCAATTGAACGATTGTGCCCCGTTAGAGACTATTAGAGAGAAACCAAGAAAGAGAGAGAGAGAGAGAGAGTTTACACAATTAGACAAACATATATGTATATTTATTTATATATTCATTTCTTTATACGAACCATGAAACACTCAGATTGGCCAATTGCCCACAGATTCACATTGCGATCTTCTCCTCCAGTGACCAGCACTCGTCCCGTCTCCCCCAAATCGAGGCTTGTGACCTTACCATCGTGCGCCTTGATTTCATCTGTGTGATCATAGGAAACAATGTTAGTACATTTATCTAAACTTATACTTATAAATAAAAGGAAAGGGGGAGTACCCTCTGACCCTTCATCATTACCGAATGCATTCTAAATGCACGCACACAATGTAATTCATTACCCCGTAATGCTCTTGTCTACAGAGTTGTATGCTGGAGCTTCTATTCTTATATGAATTAGATTCTTATCTGTTTTCCTATCCCTTTTAATTTTAGCTTATTCTATTTTGACTTTTCCTTGATCGGTTATGCAATTTGTATTGTGAAAAATAATATATATTTTTATATTTCAAATTTATAAAATATTGTGGATTGTGGTATGGATTCGATGACGAGATTAAAAATCTAATTAAAAGTGGGGTCTTTTCGCTGCTGGGTATCTGGTCAGCTTGCACTAACTGTAAACGGCAGTTGTTGTGATCTCATCTTAGCTTAACTGTAATAAACACATACACAGCTGTAACTTCATAGCTCCTTACAAGGGGTGCACCCACATGCTTTCATTATTTGCATGTTGTGTATATGCCAAAAACAGGCGCAACAAACACACACACATACGTACATGCACATGCATGGCACACACACTTGGGTACACTCATCCAAGTGATTTGTAATTGTGTGTGTGTGTGTGTGTATAAATAAAAGAACTACTTTCATAGAGGCAAAATTCTATTTTACTTACAGATCTTTGCTATGAGGTTTCTGGGCAGCGCCATTTCCATTTAAATATATCTTATCGATGTATGCTTGTTTTAACGAATATATGCTTAACTTCTGGCGGCAATATTGTGAATTATTTATTTTATATTGTCGCAGGTGTGATAATTTGGGGTCTGCGTTGAATCGGAATCGGATCAGCTGTCCGCTATCTCTTTTTTTTGTACTTATTAAACAACTACTTCTTCAAACCAATATATAAGAAATCATAAACGTATTTGAACTTCAACAGACTACACAACTTCACATGATTAAACGGTAAGATAATATTTAAACAAAAGTCGCATAGAACACCGATAAACCAGACAATTTCTGTAGACAAAACAAATGCACATTTATATACATATATGTATATATATATATGTATGTATGTTAAGTGACCAGGGTTGACATATCAGTTTAATACGTTGCCACCTAGTTTGCGCTTTTAAGCAAAACAAATATATTGAATACAAAATGTGCTTAAAAATACCCAATGTTATCGATACTCTGTAATTGATGACAGCTCTATAACCGCATATCATACATTCCGCAAAAAAGCATCATCATTGCCTGGTCGAAAATTGCCGACTGCATTTTCTGGATTAAACAATTTTGCTCAGCGTGACTATTTGAAAAAGAACTAAAGATGTCCTCACGTTACGATCGTGCCGTTACCATTTTCTCACCCGACGGCCATCTGCTCCAGGTCGAATATGCCCAAGAAGCGGTTCGCAAAGGTTCCACAGCGGTAAGATTATCCCTCCACCCACCCAAAATAACAATTTCTTTTTTGTTTGAAATACTTGTATGAATATTATATTTATTATGTGTAATTGATTTATAAAAAAATCAAAAAGGTTGGCGTCCGTGGTGGCAACTGCGTTGTGCTGGGCGTTGAGAAGAAATCGGTGGCCAAGCTGCAAGAGGACAGAACAGTGCGCAAGATTTGTGTGCTCGACCATCACGTTGTGATGGCCTTTGCCGGTCTGACTGCGGATGCGCGCATCCTCATTAATCGTGCACAGGTTGAGTGTCAGAGTCATCGCCTGAATGTCGAGGATCCCGTTACCCTGGAATACATAACACGGTAATTTATTATCCAATATTGCCAAAATGCAAGTGGTTAACACACATGAAATTCGCACCTTTGCAGCTACATTGCACAGCTGAAACAGAAATACACTCAGAGCAATGGACGCCGTCCGTTTGGCATCTCGTGTCTGATTGGCGGCTTCGATGCCGATGGTTCGCCACATCTATTCCAGACCGAGCCATCTGGCATATTCTACGAGTATAAGGCGAATGCAACGGGACGTTCGGCGAAAACGGTGCGTGAATTCTTTGAGAAGACGTATCGTGAGGAGGAGGTTGCCACCGAGCGTGGCGCCGTCAAGTTGGCCATTCGCGCCCTGCTCGAGGTTGCCCAATCTGGTCAAAATAACCTGGAGGTGGCCATCATGGAGAATGGCAAGGCGCTGAAGATGCTCGATCGCAATGTCATCCTGGAATATGTGGACATCATCGAAAAGGAAAAGGAAGAGGAGCTGGAAAAGAAGAAACAGAAAAAATAGTAATGTAAATGGCGTTTCAATTGAATGGAATTTATCTTTTTGAATTGCATACTTTTTTGTTTTTCATATAAAATTTAAAAAACTCTAACATGGAAAAGGACTTAAGGATATTGTATAAAATACATTGTCAACAAAACACATACATCCTTAGCTGTTTTTTTTTAAGCTTTGTTCTCTCTTGGATATCACAAAGCAGACAATACATGGAGTCGTCAAATCTGGTAAAGTAAAAACCCAGCCTTTTATGAGCATGCGTGCACGGTTGCGAGCAGGTACGCAGTTGGTCCTAATGGGTTATGAATGTGTGCGAAAAAAGCAGCTAATCACTCAATTTTAAATTTTGTAGTTTTTGGGCCTGATGTGTAACCTTTCGTAAAGTGGGGTGACTTAACTGTTGACCAATTTTGTAACAGCCCGTATGTATAATGTATGGTGCAAATCTAAGACAGGGTATCATTGTCTCAACATACAAAATTCTATCGACGCGTTGCCTTCGAAGCAGAATAAAAACATGCACTGTCTGCTTATTGCTTGAAAATCTAAGATTTAATTCATAATTAATCAAAATAATCAAATTGGATGGCATAGCTTATTTGATGCAGATAATAAAGTTACACTTTGAGCAAAACAAAGTAATATTTTGAATATTGAGCGAGCTTTCACATGCATACAAAAAGCTTTTGTGCTTTCACACGTTAAGCTAGAAATTATAATGGGGAGGGGAGCTTTTCGTAGCGCAAAACGTGCAATAACTATCGATATGTACATGAATACGCAGTTGATTGTGTATCTTATTGGCACAAATAAATCTGGTTCAAAGTGACAAATAAGATTAAACAGATATAATAAAAATGTATAAATATGTAATAACTATAATGTAAAATTAGCTAAGCGTTTTGAGCTAAATTGACGATAATTCGATGACAATAATAATATATATTTCGCACATCTCTAATGTGGACAAGTGCTGTAAAATAAGCACTTTAAGCAACAGTGCTGAAAAGCGAAAATTGAGATCTATTTGAGAATATTTGCTCAGTTTACTACTACTGCTGCCCGGAGTCGGAAGTTGCGTCAACGAAAGAGTTTAAGAATAAAAAAAACAAGATTGTACAAAGCGTATAACGAGAACTAAGAACGAGAATATTAACAATTCTGCTGTTATACGATTAAAACGCCTGCATTGTTTCGCTTCCCATTCCCTTGCAAAATTCATTCCAAACCAAGCAACGCTATCATCAGACTAAAATCAATAATTTAGTTGTGTGGTTTTCGCGGCTTTTTGTGTTTTTCTTTAAAAAACAATCAATACCCGAAGGTAACGTGTGTAGTACAAAAAGAAAAAAATTAAAATAAAATGAAAAGAAAAGAAAAAAAAATAAAAGAAAAAAACCATTCACATCAGTGTGCGTTTGCATTCATTGACGCTTGACATATTGGTACACATTTTATTTATTTATTTCATTAGTTTCTTCTATTTCGCATAAGTACACACGTTTCTCTGTCCGTCCGTCTGTCTGCCTCTGCCTCTGCCTCTCTGTCTGTACATACTTGTGCGTACTTGTCCCTATAACTCATATGTATTTATATTTATCTATATATTTATCTCGCACATTAACATTTGCAAACAATATCCCCAAATAAAAGTTGCTAACACAACGCTCTAAAAGCTTCTTAATAAAACCACGTACTATGTACACACACACATACAGGATTTTTTTTTTGCATTTTCCTCAAATTTTAAGTTGGTGTTGAGTAATTCGCTAAATAGCAAGCTTAATTAACACACAAATATAAATACATATATATGTATATATATATATATATATATATATATATGCATATATACGTTTGCAATATGTACATACCGTTAATATGCAAATAAATACTCACAGATAAGGGCGTGCACGTGAGGAGGGGTGGGGGGTGACAACAAAACGTTTTAGATTAAAATTTTATGAAGAATTTACAATTCGGCCTTTCCTTTACGAAATGCCACCTACCCGCCTCCCCTCACCCTCCACCCCACTATCTTCCCTCCCACTCTGGATACACCCCTGTTCACATATATGTACACACACACACACACACACATGCTTACATACACACAAATGTAAAGTTAATTTTAATATTGTGCACATATACATGTACATTATACCATTATATATATATACATATATGTATATATATATACATATATATATATACATATATGTATATATATATACATATATATATGTACACGTGTAATTTGCGCTCTAATCTTATCTCTCGGCCACCTTTGGCAAAGACAAGTCGCGTCTCCTTATCTGCTCGAAGTACTGTCATCATCATCGTCAAATATACATACATATCATATATATATATATTTTGCAAGATTTCCGCAAATATGCATATGCATATACATATACATATATATCGAGCTTAAGGTTGAATCCCGAAAATAGCACCAAAGAAGCTCTCATAGCTTAATCCTTTCAAAGCAAAAAACGATGCACTTTTTATATTTACTTTAATTGAACATAGTTTTAGACAACTAAAAAATAATACCAACATATAAAAGCAAGAATAATTTAGAGATTTTCATCTAGTGTATTCCAAAAATGCAAAAAAAAAATATATATATATACAAAATAATCTGCTTGGTAGTTTGAAGAATGTGTGTTTTAGTGTAGAAAAAAAGTGATTTGATTTGTTATTTTAAATTTTTTTGGTTTAATCGACAAGCTTCAAGTTCAATGCCAAGACTTTGAAAAATGTGCGTAGAAATAATGAAAACAAATCAAAATTTTGATAGCCGTTATTCCTTATCTGTACTTTTGCTCACCTCTCCGTCTAATTGATAATACTGCGCAAAAGAATTGCGAAATTTTGATTTCTGTTTAAAAATTTAGATATTCACTTTTAATTTAAAAAAAAAAAAACAGCCATTGCAGAGTTAAAAAAAAAAATACTTAAAAATTTCATTTGTTGTGGTTAATAGCCTTACACATTGTACTTAATAATTAATTCATCGGTATTCATCTGGATAATTTCACTTTTGCAGTCGGCACTCGCCGATTGTTGGTTATTTTCTATTTTTTTTTTTGTTTTTTTTTTTTTGTTATATATTTGTTTGATTGTGTTTTTTTTTTTGTTTGGTGGTATGTATGTATGTATGTGTTGACCCGACCTGACACTCTCCGTATTTCACATGTAATACAATAGAATGGGCACAGAAACCAAGAGCAACAGTTACACAGGACAGATTTCAACAAGTGGCGGCAACCCTAAAGTGATGAAAGATTCTTTATCTTTAGTTCGTCAAACGGTCAAACAGCAATCGAACCAAATCAATACGAATTCCAATTCCAATTCCAATTCGAATTCAAATTCCAACTCAAATTCACACTCAATCGAACTAAACACGGGCGGTGAATTTGTTCGGCCAAAGCCGGAGGATAAACGAACAGCGACAGCGAACAACAAACACGAGGCGATTGCGATTGTACCATTTGTTCCCATATTCGTTGAGGAAGCAGATGTTATTCAAGGTGCCAAGGATATATTGAGAGTTATTCGACCGAATTGGGACCTCAATCACATTGACTTTAAGGTAAAGTAAAGTGCCCAATTTGCTGCTTATCCAATCCCCAATCCTTTCAATCCTTGCTAGATCTACGTTAGGAGTGCGTATACTCGACTTGAAAGCAAAAAAAATAAATAATATTAACAAAGAACCAAACCAATTAATTAGTATGTAGAAATGCATATACTTTGAATCGAATATATAGTATGTCCATAAATTATAAGTCTTTACCTGGAACTTGGAATGATTCTAATGCACAGCACGAGGTTTCACAACTAGATAATTATAATTACATATTCTCGACTCCGACATGCCTTATATAGATATATATATATATATATATATATATATATATATATATATATATATATATATATATTCAGTATATATTTATTTACAAATGCGCTCAGAATAATAGCAGTGCTACTTTTCACAACTTTTGCTCTGTCATACCTTTTGATAGATCACATGATATCAATACAATAAAATGAATCTTTTGAGCTCTTGTTGTTGCTGATGTCCAAAGATGTCAGAGGACTAAGCCTTAGGAACTGTACCTGTAAAATAGCATTATCATAATATAATAATAAATGAAAAGATGGCATGTATTGCCAACGAAAGGTTTCAAGAGATTAATATTACGATTTCCCATCAATTTTAATATGTTGTTGATATACTTTTTGAATTTCTTGTTTTCCTACAGCGAATTGCTCTTCCATTAAAAAAATTAAGTTCCGAGGCCAAACCTTAGATGCAAATACAAGATATAGTAGGTTACTCTTTAAATATCATATGGAATGCTATAAATAGTCGAACTACTAACAATGATAGTGCCATATTCTAAACAATTTGAATTGTTTTTTGTTAGCAATCTTGTCTAAATTTGTGGCAACTCCAATGTAAAATTTATTCTTAGGAGACAAATATTTATGACGAAAAATTGGCACTTCAAAGATGAGAGTAAGAAAGAATTCATTCATTCATATATATATATATATATATATACATCTATATATATAATTATATCTATATATATTTGTTCAATGTTAAAGGTAATACGAAAAATGACTGAGGCAATTCGCAATCGTGGAAAACGGCATGTTGTGCTTCTAATTTGTGTGTATAAATAAAATAAACTTTGTATTCTGGGGGGGTTTGGGGCGGAATAGTGGAGTGTTTAGTTTTAATCAAGAACAAAACCAGTTCAACTATTACTAAGCGGATGCTAAGGCCAGCCAGCTGTACCCACTATCTGTTCATTAATTTATACACTACCAGTTGAAATAATAATACAAAGAAATATCTATCCAGGAAGCATGGATTAGATCCGATCGAAAGGTTTTCCCCAAACGGTACTCCAATTAATCAAATGCAAAAGCTCCTTGAAAATCGACGCTAATATTCGAACTTTCTGAAAAGTTTGCTTGTTACTTTCTGAATTTTGTCGGCTTATTTATAAAATATTACCTCCGATTATATATAAGTAAATTAGTTTTTTCATTATTTCTAGTAGGTAATTTTATTCATTCAACCTGCGTCTAATGCGTCACTCGAGGACTTTCGCCTTCAAAGTTGAAATAAAGGTTATCTGCCACAAATTGATAATACAGCAAAAAAAAATTAAGAAAAAAAAAAAAAAAAAAAACTTACGTATACTTTGCGGCTTATCAAAACGATTATGCGTTGATTCTGTCGATTATCCCCGACCAGAACGCACTGGAGTGTTGAGTACTCTTGAGTGGACGACTATTAAAACTCACACATACACAAAATACACATATGCAGTCCACAGTACTAAAAACATACACACACACACGTACATATTTAGTAGTCATCCACTCGAAGGTATAGTTTAATGAGCACATGTGATCGTCTCATTGTGTGTGGAGTGCGATTGGTTAGATGTTGGGGAGGGGAGGGGGCCTTTACGGTTAATGAGCTTGCGTTCGAAGTGTCAAAAGTTTATCACCCTTCATTACCAACACTCACATACGCATGCACACACACACAAACATTCATAAGTATAAAAGCACATACGGATATGTATGTGTGTGTATTTGCTTCAATCTGTTTAAATATCTGTATATATGTTTTTCAACTTGTAAACTGCTGATTATGACTTGAGACATTGAGACATTGAGACATTACAAACTAAACTTGGATTTTGATATAGACAATTTAATGTGAAGAAATGAAGAGTGCTCGACAGCGAGTTGTTTACACAGTGTTCACAGAAAGAACTGTTCTTATTCCCTGTACACATAATAGGAAGGGTATTAGGCATGCAATTGACACATATCAAGTTTATTCATTTCGAATCTAGAACAATTACAAATTAACTCGTACATGAAAGACAAAAAAAAATAGTTGAAATTTGTTTTTCTAAATCTTATCACAATAATTGAATTTCTCAATCAGATTTTTATCCACATTCACTTTCTTATTGAAAAGAGAGAGATAGAACTTTTGGGTATCGATTGTCTCCATCTCTTTTCATCCCTACCAGCTAATGAAGTCTATTCTAACATGTATGTGTGTGTGTGTGTGTGTGTGTATGTATGTGCATGTCGTTCTATGTTAATCAGTCAAAGCACGCGAACATAGAGATGAATGTAATGTTATGCATCGATCGCTGCAAACAGCATTTACATCGTATACGAACTGAAATAACAGAAATGCGCATGATGAAGAACCGTTAAGCAGTTGTAAGAAGTAAACACGTGCGCGTGTGTGTGCGTGTGTGTGCAAAGCGAAAAGTAACTGCGAATGTTAATATACATTAACAGTGCTAGGTATTTACATATATATTATGCTAATATGTTAAGAGTAAATTCCACAAGGCAAATTAATTAAATTTGGTGCACATTTGCTTGTTTTTTTTATTGCAGAAATTTACCGATGGCATAACAAATAAGCTTGTTGGCTGTTTTCACAATAGTTCCAAATTAGACAGGGATAATGACGACACCTATTTTGATTTGTCCATCAACAATGCGCAGAGCATTTTGCCGGTGCCGTCTGAAGATCCGGTTATCATTCACGAGGAATTTACAACCGTTGATGATAGAGAGCAAAGGGAGCAAAACCGTTCACCTCTACAATACTCCGATAACGTAGTCCTCGTCCGTGTCTATGGAAATAAAACGGACCTATTGATCGATCGGAAGGCTGAAACGCAAAATTTTCAATTACTGCATACGTACGGCTTGGCGCCGTCACTCTACGCCACCTTCAAGAACGGGCTCGTCTACGAATATGTGCCGGGCAACACACTGAATACGGAGAGTGTCCTCTGCCCGGATATTTGGCCACTGGTCGCCCGTCGCATGGCCGAAATGCATCGTGTGGTCAAAAAGAAGACCAACGGCGATGCCAAAACAATGCCAATGATATGGAAAAAGACGCAAAGCTTTCTCGATTTAGTACCTGAACGATTTACCGATGCGGACAAACACAAAAGGTAATCAAATCGAATCGAATCAAATCGCAATCAAATATGATTAATGATATATCATTATTTTTGTCTTTGTTTTTTTTTTTTTTTTTTTTTACGATTGTGCAGAGTGAAAGGAACATTTTTACCTATTGAGCGACTGCGCGAGGAGTTTAATGGCTTGTACAAATACTTGGAGGCATTGGAGAGTCCAATTGTTTTCTCACATAACGACCTGTTGTTGGGCAATGTGATCTACACGAAATCGATGAACGCTGTCAACTTCATCGACTACGAGTATGCCGATTATAATTTCCAGGCCTTCGACATTGGTAATCACTTTGCGGAAATGTGCGGGGTCGACGAGGTCGACTACACCCGATACCCCAAGCGGGAGTTCCAACTGAAATGGCTGCGAGTTTACCTCGAGAACTATCTGCAGCGGAACAACATTCGCAGCGACGAAGTTGAGCGCCTCTTCGTTCAAGTCAATCAGTTTGCACTAGCCGCACACATTTTCTGGACGGTCTGGTCTCTATTGCAAGCCGAGCATTCCACTATTGACTTTGATTATGTTGGGTACGTAATGCAATATATATGCACATATATTAGTTTGTCTAACATTAATGCATTAATCTTGTACGCAGCTATGCATTTCTTCGTTACAACGAATATTTGGCCCGCAAGGAGGAGTTTCTATCATTGACGACGGCATCCGAGAACAATAAATGATTTTTTCTTCGAAATTCGAAAAGTAAAGGAATCGAAAAACACAGTCATGTGTGTCCCCCCAGTGATGTACTTATATATGTGTATATACATATGTGTATAAACTATGGCTGCCGTTGTTGATATATATAATGTATGTATATGTACAATGTACATATATTATACATATATGTATATATGTATATGTATATACCTACCATGCGTTCACAAACTACTTAAGCCGTAGTCTATGCATATATATATAATGAATTTGTATATGTTCTATAATTTGTATATTGATATTTAGGAATCATAAATAAACAAAAACTTAAATATTTACTTCTTGATATCGATCCACTTATCCATCGAAGTCAACCACCCTGCCATTATTTCAAGTACACATAAATGTACATTTAGTATTATTTAAGTATTTCAAGTATTCTTACACATACATCTATCCATCTATATATATATATACACAAATCCGGTGACTAGTCTATATAGACAAATGCTTGTATAGTTTCATAGGCGAGTGCTCAAACATGCTCTGCGTGACACATACAAGGCTATAGCCAGCCCCCATAGAGGCTATTGATAAATCTGACGTCTAAACTGACTGAAACATAATAGCCTGGATATAGCGAGCGTACATGTCTATACATATATCTTATCAGGTTTGCGATCGGCATGAAAACAATTTAAAGTATGCATTAGTCACCTGTAAAGGCAGAACCTCGTCATGGTAAAAAACGAGGCAAATTATTGTTGTTACCGAGCGAGATAGCAACAACAATTAAATTGCTGACAATGTAACAATTTCGATTTGTATTTATTTTCGACCTCATATTTTTAGAAACGATTTGTGTATGAAAATCGTTGAAATGTTTATATGTACATCAGTTTTGGGAATTTATCAATTATTAACTAATTAATTAGAGTTAGTTTCAAAAAAATCGAGCCTTTAAGATGAATGCAAAAATAGCAAAAAGCAGCCCAGATTCGTTCTCATTTGGCAAACAAAATCAAATTGCCAAATTACTTAAATAAGACACACATGTTGACGAGCTGAATATAATAAAACTATAAATAAAGTATTTATCCCAAGCATTTTGAGGATGTCGTCCCATTCTTCTGTAACTTCATGGAAACACAACATGCATAAATAAATATTTTAGCGTTTTCAAAACAACGAATTTATTTAATTTATACAAAAACATTCTCGTATAATTTAATGTACTTCCTACAAATGTTTTAATTTCATACCCTTGTCCGATTTCCGTCTCCGCCGAGTCTTTGAACAATCTGCAATGTAATTAAAGTAAATATGATTTGGTAAATGTGACGTTTTTTTTATTAGTCAATAAATTGCTGATAGCAAATCAGTGTTGTCGTTTTGGCCTTTTATCCGCCCTATTCAGAAATCTAGACTTTTTTCCCATTTCATGAAATTTTCTTTTAGTCAAAAATTAAAAAGCAATGCATATATTTTGAGATTAACACTATTGGTTCGGTTGCGTTAATGCCAAATGAAATAAATCGAAGTAAATTTTAGAGGTGATTTACTATTGTTAAAAATAAATGATCAAAGTACTGAACGCTTACGATGAAGTCTTTTTCTGCAGCAATAAACAATAATAAACATTACGAATTGTATAATTTAACTATGATTAAAGATGTAGTGTCATCCTTATTACGCGGAAACATATTTTAAAATGTAGACCGTTTTCTATTCTCCAAATAAATTTGTTGTCCATTTTTGGGGCCTTTTCTGGTCAATTTGGACAATTGCCAACACTGACTACTCTGCGCAAATGACAAGTCAAAACTATCGATAACAAACGCTATTGTATCGATAGCATTGTTGAAGCGAATTCCATCTTTAGGTTGTCAGCTGTCATACCTAAAGCGAGCGAGCTGAGAAAGCGAGCGATTTTCCTAAAATTACGATTTATCAATAATCATGTCAAGTTATATTGCCAGAAAGGGACCTTTGGTATTCTGTGAGTATGCGATCAGTAAATGCGATACTTTGATTGAGAAACATATGATCGAGTGTCCTTAAGCATTGCATGCATTAAACTGATTACGTAAATAGGTAAGACAAAAGTTTACAATTCTATATATTCTAGCCAACCTGGGCAAATGGGCCTACAATCTGTCCGGATTCAATCAATACGGTAAGAAGCGGATTGGGCATGCAATCAAATTCGTATATCAATAATAATACAAATATATTAATTAGGTCTGCACCGTGATGATTGTCTGTATGAGAATGAGGACGTGACCGAAGCAATCCGCCGCCTTCCTCGTAAATTGTATGACGAGCGCAACTATCGCGTTATGCGTGCTCTGCACTTGTCCATGACGAAGACCATTCTGCCCAAGGAGCAATGGACAAAGTACGAGGATGACGTTAAATACTTGGAACCATACCTGAAGGAGGTGGTGCAAGAGCGCGAGGAGCGTGAGGAGTGGAACAAAAATCATTGAATTTCTTCGCGCTGTGTGGATTTGTAAATGAATTGTTGAAAATACATAGCTTAAAATAAAACTAGAAATTCAATGAGAATTTACAAATTATTTCGCGCTCGAATCAATAGCAAATAACCGTCAAATTTATTCTCGGAACTGGAGGTCAGAGAGCCGTACAGAACAAGTTTTTATCTATAATCTAAGATCTGTAATACTATTGTAACTTATGCACTGGACAAGGAATGATTGCAATAATGTCAGCTGTGTTCATAATGTTATTTGTTAGCGTTCTAATTGCCCGATTGCCTTACCTTTTGCATAAATGGTAGATTGAAAAATGATCCCAGAACAGGCACTCGGCCAAGGAAATTGATGGCTACCGGGAAAAAGCCACTGCAAAAAAAAAAAAAGAAAAAAGGTTAATATATAAAATGAGTTAAGTCGTAATTTTCAAGTGGGACACTTCAAGCTGCGTTGAAAACAATGAACGAAATAACTTTAAGACATTTAGAAGCATAATTCACATCTACCAATTCATATAGACATATGCAAATGGATATTTATGGAGATATTTGTACAATAAAAGACAAAGAGCTTGTCCCGTTTTGTGCACGAATGAATGAAGTTATATAGTAAATAGTAAATGGGAATCGGCCAACCTGAATAGCGCAAAGAATCCATAGGATTCAATAATCATGCCGATAATGGGGAAACCAAGCAGCACAATAACAATTCCTCCAAAGAAAGCTGTTGTCCCTTTGAGTTTGTGCCGTTGAAAGAAAAAGCGCAATGTTCTCTCCACGCCAATAACGCAGCCCAGGCCCGATATAAATAGAATCTGCAAGAAAGGCAAATCCGTAGTAGTCATAGCAGTATTAGTAGCTGTATGCAATGCAAAACACAATTTGCAAGGTTTATTTTGAATTTACGCACGTTTCCAATTGCAAGCAAGCCCTTATCGAAGAGAAGCAACATGCCGAGAAATAAGAACGATATGCCAAAGCTAGCCAAGCCGATGCCGATTTCTGCAAAGAGTGTGCAATAGATATGTTGAAGTGCGTTAATTTAGTTGCAAATATATGCAAAAGTATATCTCACACACTTTGGAGATCTGTTACTTCAATCATTCTGTCTTGCTTCGGTTAGATTTGCTTAAGAGGATAATAAGTTGCATGGGTGTATTCCACGTAAACACCAAAGGTTTCATTATTACGAATATAAACAATCATTGCAGAGTTGCATGTTTCACAAAAAAGTGTTGGAAAACTTTAAAAAAATAAAAACGATATGTATGACATACGTACCTTCATTTTAACTCTGTTGTAACATACGTTCCTGATTTAAGTTAGTTTTGACATGGAACGACAATTTCAAATGTAATCAAATTAAAAAAAATGTTAATAACAAATATGTTCAAGTTAAAAAAATTTTCCGAAACAAGAGAATAGTTTTTTCCCATTTTGTGAAAAATGTTAGAATAAAGTCTTTTGCTGGATTCACACAGTTTGACATCAACTACCACTTTTGGACAATAGTCATGATATTGCTTTTTATTTATTTATTTTATGATTTTGTCGGTCCACCACTTAAAAATATCTGATATTCACTGCAAAATAGATCTATAAGGGGATTTGATTATAAAAATAAAGAATTATAATTACTTATAGCCTGCTAACCATCTATGATAAATATATCCAACATTTTTACCATAACTAAAGTCTAAAATTCAAATTTCTTTAAAGGCATGTAATGTATTTAGTTGTGATAACAAGCTATATATATTGCCGCTAACTTGCGTACAGTCAGTCATTCCTTGGACAAAGTTGCATTTCGATAAGTTACAGAATATTCGTCTATCGGTATCGATTGTGTACATCCCTAACTTCACACGCCATTTTTACAATAAGGAGACAAGAGTTGAGATTTTCGACTGACGCTTTGAATAAGTTTAGGGAGTGCAAGTACTAAAAAAAAGTCTTCTTTTTTTCAAGCAAAGAATTAGCTTAGACGTATTAATCATGGATCGTAAGTGTGCATTTTGAACTCATTTGGAATCAGTCCACAAACAATAAATTTGCAATTTTCAGGTGGTGGTTATGGTGGAGGCGGCGGCGGTGGCGGTGGAGCCGGACAGTATAATAATTTTGCTGTTCCTCCGCCAAATTATCAACAAATGCCAAATAAAACTGGTAACTATAATGAGCCCCCTCCAAATTATAGCAAGCCGGGTGGAGGTAAGTACCAAAAAACTACGAAAAATTAAATGAAAAACATGTTCGACATCAAAATCAATGTTCTTTAAGGTTATGATTCCGGCCATCGTGGCGGCGGCGGCGGCGGTGGCGGAGGCGGTTCATGGAACGATAGAGGAGGCAATTCTTATGGGTATGTTATAATCTACTATCTGCTGCTATTTAATATTACTATGGGAAACAGACAGCGGTGTACAATACGGTTACACATTTCTATATATATATATAAATACATATACATATATATGTATATATATAGAAATCAGAGTGTGTTGTCAGCTTAGGATATGTGAAACATGAAAACAACAACAACAACAAAATAAACAAACATATTAAACAAATTACATGCATACACTTAAAAGAGAAATACAATTGAGAAGGCACGAAAAGCCCACCTTAGTCGTCAGGCAAATGAAAAGCGCAATGCGATCGATCGATCATTGCAAAGTTGTAATTGAGTTTAAAAAGGAAATAGAGCCGATTAGTAATTGATTGTATTTGTAAAGTTTCGTACTCGTAATGTAAATGCATGTCGCATATAAAATAATATATATATATATTATTATAACCTCCGAATAAAAAGCGAACACCATTTAAATATGGTTTCTAAACCAAAAAGGGATCACTTCTGTTCAAGCCTTGACACGAAGTCTGAAAATGAGGCAGAGAAAACAAAAGGAATCTATTCATGATGCAAATGAAAGAAATGTTGGTATTCGCAAGGGATTTCATGTGTGTGCGAATACACAGAGAGAAAAGACTATCCAAAACAAAAAAAAATATGTTGCCAAAAATGATAAAACGACAAAACGAAAACGAATAATTATTGTGGTATCTAAGTTTAAGGTGCCAGAAACGGCTGAGATGCGATTGTCTACTTAGTGTGTCTTTATATGAATATAAAAATTATAGTTTTTAGCAAAGAGTTCAAATATGTGTACAGAGATACATGGTCAAGTACATGGATATATCGGATATCATTATGCACGATTGGTGGTGACTCTGCCAAATGCCAAACATTGAAAGATTAATATGCTATTTACCCCTTTATTCTGTGCCCTCTTTTAATTTACGCGATAGGAACTTTATCATGTATCCCCAATCACATTGAAAGAGTTTTGCTTTTAATCAAATATAATATATTGAAATATATAGAAACTGATTTCAACTATTCACGTAAATGCATATTAATATAACGAGAAAATGGCCTCTTCAATATATATTGATAAAACATGCGTTGCAAATAAAGTAGACTGATCTCTGCACCGAGTTGAGTGAAAAGGGAAAACACATTTCGACTACGTGGAGTTTTGGACATGCATTCTGCATATGGTACACCATCCATCCCATCTGGTACAGCAATATACAAATAAGTCGCGAGGATATGCTTGAGCTTGGGCCAAAGAGAGAATTGCAATCGTCGGATATAATTAAAGATTATAAATATCGATTGAAACATTTGTTTGTTCCACAAATTATAAATACTAAGGTCATTTGCGTAAAATTACAAATTAATTATGTTAAATGATGTACTGCGAGCGGAGTCAATCAAATTTATTTCTCATCTTGTTCGCAACTTAACAATTACGATATAAATAATGAATAATAATGATACGATTAGTATATATATACACAGGCACAGAACGGACATGGTCAAAAAAAAAAAAAGCAGCTGAATTTGTGCAATTGAAAGAATGATTGGATCGTAATGAGAAGCTCTATTATATAAATTACATGTGTAACATCTGCTCAAATTATGAGACAAACAAACAATCCCTATGAATATATGTAGTACATTATATATATATAACTATTTTTGGTATATATATAATATGATCTCCACATTCACATTCACAATCAGAAATCATAATTGATTAAAACTCGGATTAGAGCATGAATCAAATTGTGTTATAGTTATGCTTAAGCTGACCTTCGTAATGAAATTTACATTGGTATTATTTATATTAAACGACACACACGATCTGCTTTAATCAATTGAATATAGGCTACCATATATTTACCCCCCTCTTAGTCCAGTAAACGTAAGTGTAATCAATTATACAATCTTTAATTATCGAATTTAATATGTTTTACGAACATGTTGCGTAGTTTATTTGTTTCGTATTATTATGTGTTCCATGTATATTTATTTATTTGCTTACAACAAATTACAACCAGTAGCAAAGTCGCCATGCAGACCTCGTCGTCATTATTATCTTAAGACAGCAATTGAGAACGTTTATATCTGATATCTGATCTGAGCTGATAACTAACCCCCCCAACCAAAGCACAGGGCGAGACTTGACTGACTCGAATCTTCTTATTCAAAATAAAAATAATAATAATAATAATACTTGTCGATCCACTGCGTTAAATCAGGTTCCATTAGGCAGAAACGAGCTGTGCAAAACAAACAATCAAACAAAGTTTGCTGTAGATATAGATGACAAAATTGTTATTTTCCAATTAAATGTGTATTATTATTCGGATCATAGGTTTTTGTTATTAACAATTGCTTATTTTGGTCAAGTGTGTCTGCATGGTTACATTGAAACTGCGGTGTTCCGTAGATGCTTGTTATTTAAACCTAATTAATACACTTACTGATTAATTATTCAAAGACAAAAGTCTCTTATATCTTGAGCCATTGCCAGAGCGTTGGGCAACGAAAACAAAAAAACCAAATAGAATTTAATCAACTCTTGTTATATCTAAAGCAGAAGTGGTTGTTTACCTTTACCAGGGCACTTTGCTTGTTGGAATATTTCAAAATGGATAAGCATGAACATGAACAAGAACATTTTTGGCAACGGAGTCCCACTGATTGATTGATTGATTGATAATGTGTGGTTTTAATAAATAAAGTGCGCTGGTAAAAGTCGTGTTACACTTTGTAATCATCGGGTAGTCAGTCAACTTAGATACATATTAAATAAAAAAAAAAAGAAGCAAAAAAGAAAACAACACATAATAAACGGTCATATATATACTATTCTGTTGGACAATGGCAAACGGCGGAGGCGTGGTCGTTAACTACTTCATCATAATGCATTACAATCAAAAACATCAAAATCAAAACATTAAATAAGCTATTCAATATCCTCTTTTAGAAATGGAGGCGCCAGCAAGGACAACTACAACAAAGGTAAAATAATGCAAAACAATTTGCAAACATATCGAGTAATGTATAACATTAATTTACTACAAAATCAAATACAAAACAAAACAAATACCAAAAAATAATAGAAGAGTAAAAACAGATAAGAAAAGAAAAGAAAAACATAAGACAAATAATTCTCTTTCGCTTGCGTGTAAATCTGGTATACAATATTATTAATATTATATAAGGAGTATTTGAGAGAGTATTAAAGATTGAGAGAGCTCAATTCGCATCCACAGCGATTATATTTCGAGTTCAACTCGGCATCCAATGCAAAAAACTGCTGTTCTTATCTAGTGTGTATTATTCAATCGCAAAGTTCTTCATAAGATTAAAGTGGCCTGGCCCTGGGATTTGGTTTGGTCACTGGTTGTTCTGGTAAAAAAATATATATTCGATCAACGATAAGTGTAATTTCTGTGCGTGTGGGTGGTGTGTGTCTGTGTATGTGTGTGTGTGTGTGTATTGTGTCTATGTATATATTTAGCTAATATATATATGCATTTATATATATTTGTATATCATCATCTGTTTGAGAGCTGCGCTCAATCTAGTGCCACCAAGTTTATTGAGTATACCCCAAACAAAATCGGTGTAAAATACTTTCATGCTTGAGGTGTTTATTTTGAAATTCTGAAATTCTGAATTCTGAAAATGATAATGAAAAGCAAAAGCAATACCACATAAGATTATCGAGAGTTTTCGAGATGAAAAGACCGACCTAATAACGACCGTTGTTATATACATGCATTGTATATAGAGATCCCTTATATATTTTGTACGCACACATATATAGAGTTTAAGAGAGTGTGAGCGCCAGACCAAAGTCTTGCTCTTCCCTGCTCCACTTGTATCTGGTCTTCTTAATTGCGCTGTTTACTGAGTGTTGTCGTCCGGCACATATCGGCTGAGGGCTGATCCTTTCTCTGTTCTCAAAATTGATCAATTGTTCCGCAACCAGCATTTCTAATGAACTCTTCTATTTTGTAGGATACGGTGGCAGCAGCGGCGGCGGCGGCGGCGGTGGTAGTCTTGGAGGTGGTGGCGGCGGCGGCAGCGGTGGCAACGATATGATCACACAAGAGGACACAATTTTTGTTTCCGGCATGGATCCATCCACAACCGAGCAGGACATCGAGACTCACTTCGGGGCCATTGGCATCATCAAGGTAACGTAACCAAATTCGTTATTCAAATCAATTTCGTGCATGTTTGTAATATGGTAAATGTTTGGCATTTTATAGAAAGACAAGCGCACCATGAAACCAAAGATTTGGTTGTACAAGAATAAGGACACCGGCGCTTCCAAGGGCGAGGCCACTGTCACATACGATGATGTGAATGCGGCTCAGTCGGCCATTCAGTGGTTTGATGGCAATGATTTTAACGGCAGCAACATCAAAGTCTCATTGGCTCAGCGCCAGAACAACTGGAACAAAGGCGGTGGAGGCGGTGGTCGTGGTGGTTTCGGTGGACGCAGTCGTGGCGGTGGCGGCGGTGGTGGAGGCGGTGGTGGTCGCTTTGATCGCGGTGGCGGCGGCGGCGGCGGTGGAGATTATGACCGTGGCAGTGGCGGCGGCGGCGGCGGTGGTCGCGGTGGCGGTGGTGGTCGCTTTGGTGGCGGCGGCGGTGGCGGTGGTGCTGGCGCCGGCGGTGGCAACGTGCAACCCCGTGATGGTGACTGGAAATGCAGCAGCTGCAACAACACCAACTTTGCTTGGCGCAACGAGTGCAATCGGTAGGTCGCCGTTGAATATATCTTCTCATATATGTCAAATATACCAACTTATATTTTGTACAGCTGCAAGACACCGAAAGGTGATGATGATGGCAACGCCGGCAGCAGTGGCTTTGGCGGAGGTGGAGGCGGCGGCGGCGGCGGCTATGGCGGCATGAATGACCGCAACAACGATCGCGGCTCGGGCGGCGGTGGTGGCTACCAAAATAGAGATCGTGGCGGTGGTGGTGGATATTCACGATATGGCAATGATAACGGTGGCGGCGGCGGTGGCGGCGGACGTGGTCGCGGCGGAGGCGGCGGTGGCCGGCGTGATGGTGGCGGCGCTATGCGCAACGACAGCGGCATGCGTTCCAGACCGTATTAAACGGTGGCATGCAAAGGAAAACGCAAACTATTTTTTCTAACTTACGTATTAATTACATAGCAAGTACTCTCTTTAAAAACGTAATAGATACATACAAATAAAAAATCAATAAAATATTTATTCGCCTGCTTTAAATACTTATCGCTGCCAAAATGGATGTATCTCCATCTGAGTGGATTTCTTTGTGGATAACATAAACATATTTGCACATTTGAATGCCACCTTAGCTGATATCCTAAATACAATTCGAATCTGTGTTGTAATCGAGCTCGGTTCGGGATAGCTCCTCCTCCATCGATTGGATTTTGTTTACGTTTATTTTGACAGCTATTCTGTACAACTGGATTCCGTAGCATCAGACTAAGTACAGCTGCAATTGGATGCAGTAACTCTCCAGGAGAGATATCCCCTCTATGATTATGCGTGATTTCTCAGGGCTAATGGAGATATTCCAATTGATTGCCCAGTTTTCGAATTTTTTTTAATAGATTTGAGCAGGATATCCATAAGAAATTTTCAATTGCCCGTGGCAGATTCCACTACCAGTAACTGCTGCTATTTATAATTTAAAATATGTATTGCATTTAATATTTAAAACGAGAAAACATTACACAGAAGGCCCACGATCATTCTGCCACTAAGCTTGATAATACAATGGCCAAATGAAGTCAATATATTAACCGGTTTTCAAATGCAGTGCTTAATGCGACAAACTATCAACCTATCTTTTAAGTTGGCACTGGCTAGAATTTCGTGCGGTGAAAGACATGGCATTCATAACCTCTGAAAAGACGTCACATGCCCAATGGATTCGAGGGAGAAGTTTCATTAAATTGAGAGAGAGAGAGAGAAAGAGAGAGAGAGAGGGAGAAAAAGAGGGAAACCTATGTGTGCCTACTTTTTTGCTGAGGGTTGAAGCCCCAAAAAAGCTGGAGCGTTTCGGCCAAGTTATGCAGTTTATAAGAAAATCACTGTGGCCCCTGTGTGAGCAGAAAATCGATAATTGCAAATCGTTGAAGCCATATTTCTGCCACAATTTTAATGGTAAAGCCAAAGTAGGATTGCTTTGTCATTAATTAAATAAACCTACAAAAATTAGACCATTTTCCAAACATGCTTAAATAAAAGAAAGAAAGGGTTAATAAAACAAATATTAATCAAGCTATTTTATTTTAATTATTTAATGACGATTTAAAGTAGGTGACAGGTGCTTCATTAGCTCCTCCAATGGTTTAATTAGTTTATAAGTTACTTGCGTTTGCGCAAGGATTACGTACGTTGACTTGAGACTTGACTTGAGATAAAACGGACTATTAACAAGTGACTGTGATTTTATAAAATTTTTAATAATTATATTTAAGTGAATATACATTTGTAATATTACAGTTCATCTTTTTCCAGCAAGGTATAACGGTGTTTTGATGGGCCCAGCTCCTTAAATTTAGACTCGGGCGGTGATGTACCCTTTAACGAATTTGCTTTGTCATGGTTTTTGTTTTCATCACTTGTGGGGTCCGGCCCATAATGATATTCCCTAAACAGAAAGATATGTTGAATCCATATTGTATATGTATTAGCCAACTTTGACTTACCTATGCAGTTTCCCACTGTAAAGATCTTGAAGGAATTGCTTCAGCTTGCCAGGCGTATACATGTCATTGAAGTGCGGGAAGAGATACATGTGCTTGAAGGAGTCAATCGCAATGACGGGTAGATCATCCTCCGATTTGCCCAAGTGGTGCAATGGATGTGCAAACCTCTTGCCATCCGCAGTAAGAAAGTTAACATTCTCTGCAAAAAAGAAGAAGAGTATTAATAATAACACACATATATAAAATATGCAAACATACTCAATGGAAAATACTTCCATATTGAATATGAAATATTAATAACTTACGCTTCTCATCCAATAACTGCTGTTCAATGATTGCTTTATAATCCTTAATGGAATTCAGATCAGATGGGTTGTAGAATAAGATCAGGAACGGCAGTCCTTCTTCCGTTAGCTCCTCTGCGCTTTCAAATGTTATCTCTCTGACGAGTGGCACACACTTCTCCTGGATCCACACCTTCAGCTCATCGAAATTACTTAAACTGCCCGTAAATGTCTCATCATTTTCGTGGGATAGAGCCACATCCGGCCTAAATACAATAATAGGTGCGCCTGCAAATACAATAAATAAATATATAGAATATGTGCATATGCATTTACAGACAAGTTTACAGAACAAGTTTACGTACCAGGCGGATGCATTGCCTGAGAGGCATCGCCAAAGCCGACATGGAACTGACAATCTTCTTTGAGGTTGGTCGCAACCTTGCGGAATATGTCGTATTCGGGTTGATCTCGACGATCGAAATAGCCAATGATGCTACGTTTTTTGGAATCAAGAACCTCCAGATCCTTAAGCGTTTTAAACTCCTTGATTGGGTCCTCCAATTGCTTCTTTACAAATTCCAAGAACGCATCTGCCGATCGCTGTCCTCGGTATTCACGCTTGCTTAGCTGTCCATTGCGGACAATCTTTAATGTGGGATATTTACTGATGTGGAATCGGGACGCAATCGATGTTTCACGATCGCAGTCCACTTTACCTAGCACTACTTTCCCAGCTTCTGGAAATTCCGCTTTGATCTGTAATTTAAGGTTACATCATTATTACATCAAAATCATTACAAAAGTCCCAAATTGAGCGTCCCCCTCGATGCTAGTTTACACAGTTTGCTCCGTTCATACAAACAATAAACAATTGCAGCCACAAGAAACAAAAGCAAGCACAAAATATAAATTAACACGCGAACAAATGTTTCAGTTTTCGTGCTCCATTTTATTATTTATTTTTATTGTTTTGTTTTGTTTTATTTATATCTTTTTTCTTTTTTGGGTGGTTTTTTTCATCTGTTCCGTTTTATTGTTATTGTAAATTCAAAGCAAACAGGTGCAAAACAGAGTGACAGAATTATCTCTGCAGGCATATGCCAAATCATACAGGTAGCCATATCGGCCTAAATAATCACTATTGATCACTAGAGACCAGTTTCTTGGCATTTCGACAAAAAGTAGAGGAAGGAACAGCCAAAATGGAATGTTATAATACTATATACAGCTCCAAAGATAGAGGAGATCTTACATAATTAACTTTTTTGCTTATAAATTATTGATTCTTTGATGTATATCCTGACAGTTACATGCTTGTCGAAACTATTTTCCTTATTATTTTTAAATCATTGGCTTACCTTATCCGCGGCTTCACTGAAAACCGGCGCTAAAATATTACTAAACCGACACCACTCCGCATAGAAATTAATGACAACCATTTCGTTAGATGCTGAAAAAAAGAAAACAAATGGAAAATTCAAAATATGTTTAATGTAATCAATATGGAAATGCAAACATGTAAAATGAATGTATGTACTATATACATAAAGATATGAGAATTAAAAAAATGAGCTCTGTTAAATATTCGACTATTTAAAGATCGAGAATGCAAGAGATAATCATGAAAATCGAGCGCAACAAAATATGGAACTCGTTTTCGAGCGCATCTGTAGAGCTCTGTGAACCGCTATAGATGTCATTCAATCACCAATCTCAGAGACTTAGTTTCCCCAAATATAAACACACTTTGCTATTTACTATTTTCCTATTTTTTGTACCTTATGAATTATCATGTGACAACTATAGTTGTTATATGTCATTAGTAATCAAGCTCCCTTAATTGATAAGATAATGGAGTGAGAAGCTACTATGAAGCGACAGAGATTGTTCTGGACCAATAGCAATTCACCTTGGCAGGCACTGTACTGCACAGAATACACAATTTTTTTTTACGGGTTTTCAAACCTAACGTTAAATGATCCATGATAAATAATAATTTATATTTAATGTCATTTCCAACAATAAAAGCAAGTCTGTGCCATTCCATATTTCTTATAACATATAGCTCCAAATAATAAAATACATTTTTTTTTTTGGGGAAATCTTAGATTATATTAGGGGAACTAACGCTAAAGATTGGAAACATATATCTTGTGTGGAGTAATTAGTTTTTCCTGCAGCATTGTCATGTTTCCGCACTCAACGCCTGACTATGAGTGAAGTTCGACTAATTATTGTTTTCGATTTGATAAAGTGAGCGTAAAGAAGCAAAAACAAGAGGCGTACAACGCTGGCTGGCAAAAAAAAAAAAAAAACTAGAATTTATCGAATTTTTTACTTTGATTTTTGTGACACGTCAATCAGACACACGCATGAATCAATGTGTGAGTGTGGATGATTCTAAATACATATGTACGTGTAGGTGGACCAGCTGAGATACTGAGCAAGCAAGTAATTATAGAACGCTGCTTTTGCCGAGATTGTTGTTTCGCTTAGATTCATATTGTAAAATGGCTAAATGATTGCGGTTGCTGCTTGCCTTACCTAACGTCATATCAATATTTTCACTGGTCAGTGCCAGCGCACCGGTCGCAGAAGACGACGCATCTGTTGGTTGGTAAAGGACATGTAGAACCTGCAATCAATTAAGAAAAACGTGGTAAACTAGTATCCCAGCACCCAGATCCATCCAATTCAGCTGACGCCGGGTCGGGTCGGGTCGAGCGAGAGTCACGCCGAATGAGCGGGTGCGGGTAGAACACGTCGACGTAGAACTTGACTTACCGCAACAATGGCTAAGCACGAGCAGAGCAATGGCTTAGTTGATTCGGTCATATTGGTGTTGTGGGCGGCAGGAACGGCCAGTATATGTGATCTACTGGAATCTAAGTTATTATATTATAATTCACTTTTACATTAGATGGAATGAAAACACTGTCACGTCGTATCTACATATATAATAATTATAACAACTCCGTTGATTAGCGTACGGCTAGTGTTGGACAATCTTCAACTACTCGCTTATAAAGTACTCGGTAAGTGTAACGATTACAAGATAACGCTTATCGACACGTAGTCGATAAAAATAGTTTTAGATATATTTATTGTAATATTTTGTTTGTTAAGATCATTCGAGTTTTTTTATGCTACAAATACTTGCGGGTCCTTACATATACATATATATTATTTACAATTACTATGATATGGGAGACTCAAGCACCTTTTCATCGCATTTGAGAATTTATGCCTATGCTGAATGCGAATTCATGACTATCGATAGTTGAAAAAGTTAAAGACAATGTTTTGTCTGCTTAGTGAACAGAGTGACATATAGAGCATGAAATATAATATATTTAAAGTCTCATCAGACTATACGTATGTTTTCTATAATATAATTTACTTGTACTCATTTTTCTAATGTTGTTAAACAGACGAATGAAATGAAATATTTTGAAATGGGCGCCTAAGGTCTTTGTTGTCGTTCAGATGTACATATGCAATTTAAAGTTAGACGATGCTGGTTTTAAAAAAGTCTTTAGAAGCGCAGGATAGGAGGGAACAATATGGCTATAACGACGTAGTCTCCGATTGAAGTCTGACCGTGTGTTAAGGGTATTTTTGGTTGTTTATTCTTGCCAGAGGCCTTGGGGGATGTTTTAGACAGCTGATTGGTGATGTGCATACTTTGTCTTGTGTGACTGTTTGAGAAGGCGGGAACGGATATAACCACCCCTAAAATGAGTATTGGGAGGCCGGCGCTGCACCTCGAGAGACAAATCGACACGTAACAATTCGAACTTGCAGAAAAATCGATATCGATATCGATAAAATATACTCGATTTGTGAGACGTGACAAAAGTACTCGGTATATTAACGAATACCTATATGTATGTATGTGATAATTTTACACCTACATATCTATATGCAACAATATTTGCAAATCTTTGTTTATAATAGCTGACGTTTATGGAGTTTATGGTGCTCAAAAACGAAGAAAAGAACAAAACGCGTTTTTCTATTTCGTTGCAAATCGCAGTAATCTAGCTGCACTTGTTATTTTGAGGTTTTCTAGCTTAGTAATGTATGTATGTTTATAGGTTTGTTTTGGTGTTATTGTTTCATAAATATTTAGGAATCATACCTATGTCTGTGTAGACATACATATACATATGCATGCATATGTATATGTCCGTGCAAGTGTAAATGCTGATGTGCATAATTACATTGTTTATAAATTTGCAATTTGTTAAAATCGAAAGTATCTCTCTGTGTGCGTGTGTGTGTGGTGTGTCTGTTTTGTTAAGATGTTCATGTTTGATCTACACACATTTACATATATATATATATATATATAAATAAATATATATATATATATATATATATGTATGTGTGTGTGTATGTGAATGTAGTACGCGTCATTTTCATACGCAATTGTGTTCAAATGTACATACACACATGCATGCATGTCTACATACATACATACATATGTATAATTTGACGTATGTTATACTTATTATCTGCAATGGCAACAACCACCACATCCAAATATGATTTCTTCATATCTGGCATACGTATGCTTCTGTCAATAAAGTACTCGGATGTTTCAAACATGTTTCGTATCTAATTGTTTTTCCTTGGATTCTCTATTCGATATCCATATGTATGTGTGTATGTATGTACATGTCGACCTGTTTTTTTTTTTTTTGCCAGAGCTTTAATTGCATAAACAAATAGTACAAAAAACGATACGAAAGGATATCGTGCTGCATCCGTGCACTGATGTTTTGCAAAACTAAAACAGTTTGGCATAGAATCGTCACATGACTTCTATTATTCTTCTCAAAATAACAAAAACACAAAACAAACAAAAACTCGTTAATTTGTAGCACATTTCAATAATTCAGATCCGTATTTAATAAGGGAAATATAACTTTCCGAAACGATATTTTAGGATGTATATATGTATAAGTGTATGTATGTATTACAGCCGCCGCAACACATGATGTCAGATGGATCACCGCCCCCTTCGATTTGTTTCATTCGAGCCGCGGAATCGTATCCAAAATCGCAAATGGAGAAGGAAGACTCGCAGTTGATTGTCCCCTTTAAAGAGCGTGAGAGCCATTGAATGACTATGTTATGGATAATACTGAAACACTAATTGCATTTTTACGCACAGTTGCCGGCGAATCAATCAAATACTTGGGACGCACTGATGACGGCGTTCTGGCTCTGTCCAATTATCGCATATTTCTATCAAAGAAATCGACTGCATTTGAGACATATGTGCCGCTCGGCCTGATTGAAACCGTGCAGGTACGGGATCTATTCCAGCTGGTCGTGAACTGTAAGGATGCCAGCACTGTGAGGTGTTCGTTCCCATCGGCGGAGCAATGCTTGGAATGGCAGCGACGCGTTCAGCTGCTAATTGGGGTACCTGAAACGCTGGAAACATTATTTGCCTTTCCATTTTACTCGTGGACATGCGACATAATCGGCAATAAGGAGCTCGCCCAGCTCACCAATGGAACTGGCTCCAAGCCTGCGCCAGCGGCGGAGAATCCGATATCAACACAAGTTCAGGCTGCCAACGAGAATTTGAATCGCTTGCAGCGGGCGATTAGGTACGAGACGGACTTTAGAAATGAGGTAACCCGTCTGGGCTTTGACCTAAAGGGATCTTGGCGCATCTCAACGGCGAACACAGACTTTAAGCTGTGCCCCTCGTATCCACAGAAACTACTTGTTCCGTGTTGCATCACTGACGAAATGCTACACAATATTGCAAATTTTCGGGGTTCGCGTCGATTACCGGCTGTTGTTTGGCGTCATCAAAAGTCTGGGGCCATTTTGGCCCGCTGCAGTCAACCCGAAGTTGGCTGGCTGGGTTGGAGAAATTACAAGGATGAGCAGCTGCTGAAAGCATTGGCAGATGCTTGTGCCTTCGACAGAGGGGAGCATGCGAGGCGGCAGGCCAAAGATACCAACGGAGAGACTAGCTCATCTGGCAAAAGCTCTCCATCACTGGAGGATTCTTCACACGAGGAACTAGCACTAGACGAAATCAGGGTAAGTATGTACATTTCAAACTAACAATCTCTTTTCCATGGAGCGAAATGATGAAATGTGTTAACCGTGTTAACCGAAATGAAACTTCATATTCTATTTTAAGAAAATCCTTATTGTGGATGCACGCAGCTATACGTCAGCGGTCACGAATCGAGCTCGTGGCGGCGGCTGTGAATGTATCGAATATTATCCATGCGCCGAAATCGAATTCATGAATTTGGGAAATATACATGCTATACGCAAAAGCTTTCATGCTGTTCGACAGTTGTGTGCCTCATCACCAGATGATCCAAAGTAAGCACTCAAAATGACTATAGCTGCAAATAATACATATATAAATAATAATAAATCGGTTTACTCCTAATGCCAGTTGGTTTGGACAATTGGAGAAAACGATGTGGATGCAACATCTGTCGGGTCTATTGGGAGCTACAATGACTGTCGTCCATACGATCGAAAAGAATGGTCGTCCAGTGTTAGTGCATTGCTCTGATGGTTGGGATCGCACACCACAGATCGTGGCAACAGCTCAAATTTGTTTGGATCCATTTTACAGAACGGTCGAGGTACGCTGCCATTTTATGTTTAGAAGAGACAACAAACGAAAACAAAATTATAATATTGCAATTCTTTTTAAGGGCTTTCGAGTATTAGTTGAACGCGAATGGTTGAATTTTGGGCACAAATTTGCTGATCGCTCAGGAAACGGACCAAATTCGGACGAGGTGAACGAACGTTGCCCAGTTTTCCTGCAGTGGCTCGATCTGGTGCACCAAATACACAAACAGTACCCTTGCAGCTTTGAGTTTAGCATAGGTTATCTGGTAAGCCAAAATGTGTGTTTATCAAATGCATCAAATTTCAACGCAAACCAATTCTTCTAGATTAAACTCGCCCAGCACTCACTGTCATGTCTCTTCGGCACATTTCTGTGCAATTCGCTAAAGGAACGCATTGAAAATGCAGTCTGCGATCGAACGTTTTCAGTATGGCCATTTTTAGCTGAATCAATGTATAGGAATCCACTGTATAAGCATGATATTGACAAGGTATAACCACATATTTCTACATTTTTAATTGAGTAATAGCAGTTTGCTTGTTACAAATTTCAGGTGCTTTGGCCAGCGCACAGTGTGCGATTTTTACATTTTTGGTCTGATGTATACCTCGGTAGTTTGGGAAATCAAAATGGTACCGATCTCCCTTTGCAAAGCAATGAACGACAAAATGTTCACAATGTGAATGGTAAGCAATGAATACAAATTAGATTCAATTATATTTGATAAATGTTTTTGTTCGTTTTAGGCACGACTGCGAAAACTCGTTCAACTGAGAACATAACAACAAATGAGCTGTCTCAGAGCACAATATCGAGAAGATCGAGTGATCCCAATCTGACTGTTGATTCAATGTATGCGTTGCTTTGTGGCAATCAATATCGTATTCAATCTCAAGCTAAACCATCTCAATCTGCATCATTTCAGTGTGACTGATGGCTTAAATGTAAATGTGAGCAGCAATTCCATGTTTGACATTCGGTCGGAGGCAAAGGAGTGCATAATTGATGCAACAAGGCATGTCATCAAACAAGACTCTGACTCCGAGGATATGTGCGACAGTGCCAAACTGGAGGATGACGCAAAAAACGATTCCACAAGTTTGTTATCTGAGCAAAAGATTGAACAGACTCCTTCTTTAGTTCAATGTGATATATTAAATGACGGGTCCTTATCCCATAATGGCAAAATCACTATAATGCGCATGGATGCCAAGCTCAATGAGCTCGTAGAACTTACGCATTGTGATTCCCCAAACGGTTAGTTTTACCTTATACGCTTTCTAGCAACTAATTTAAACTTGAACTTTCAATCATTTAGATCAGGCTCCCTCCAATTTTGAAAGCATTAGTGATAATAGCCGGACGGTTCGTCAGGGCCAAGACCAAATGGATACTAGTACGGATACATTAATTCCTATTGAATCAACACGATCTGCACAAGAAGAGACAGCAGAGACAGCAGAGATAGCAGAGACAGAGAAAGCAAACGGAGCATCTAAAGACAAAGACAAAGACAGAGATGTGCCTTCAAAGCCAGATGCTGGCGTCATACCTCAAGAAAAAAAGACCGAAGGAACCTGCGTTGCGCATACCAATAAAATTAGTCAAAGTTACAGCAACTTACCCCGAGTCCACATAAAGCCCAACAATCTGCGATATTTTCAACTCAACGCCAACACCAACGCAAATATGGAGAAATGCGATACATTTCATCAGCATCTGGATCCGCATATTCAGACAGAGAGTACAACTAATGATGATAGCAGCAAGGAAACAAATGCAAATGTAAATGTAATTAAAAATCCTTATGCAACTATGCCTTCAGTCGATGGCAGCAACAATGGCGATTCTCTACTTCCATCACCTGAACATCAAAGATTTAACTGTCTATCGCATAATACGTATGCAAACGGTGATGAGTCCACGTCATGTAAACCAACGCGAAGGAACATGCTCTGGTCGAGCCTGAATCGCGAGCAATCGCATTCAAAATACACAGATAATACCAGGTAAGTGCGTTGGCATTTGTTCACAAAGTGATCAGTCAAAAATATAAATATGGCTAACAAACCTGATTCTGCAATTGTAGTGCACTCCATTTACCGGCAGCTGGACTTATTTTATTGCCTCCGACGCCACAGGGATCACAAGAGCGACCACAGTTTAATATTTCGTGTCCCGATGGCTTGGCACATGGCTTAAGTGAGAAAAACATTCGACTACATCAAATCGTTCAGGAACATAAGGTAACTGACGTCTTTTTTTTTTTGCCAATAAGGACATTAACTATTTTTGTTATTTCAGGTACGCGAGGAAGCTCTTTTGAGGGAAATTCATGGCATGCGTTTGGCGTTGTTACAAAAGGGATGTCCAAGCTGCAACAGCGTCGTATCAACTAATGTGGAGCATGTAATTATACCTATAAATTCGAACTATAAATTACACAAACATACGCCTTTATACAAATTTACATATATACATGATAATTAATATGACCTTACAAAAACAAAAAACAAAAAACAAGATGAGATGAATATATCCAGCCTTATCTAACATTCAGTTACTCTGTTCGGGCGCAAAAAAAAAAAACAAAAAAAAAAAAACAAAAATACGAAGCTTCTAAATCTTGACATTTTTGGCTGGATAGTTTTAATGAATATATACAAATATGGGTAAAAATATATTTAACTAATCGGGGCATGCGCCTTTATCCAGCGTTAGATGCCGTATTTGTCATGAAAATGGTTTCTGTTGGTCTAATTATTTGCATTTCTTCAGGAAAACGGATCGGATATTGTTGAAAATGCTTCGACGTGTTCTTGGGAAGCCGTAGAAGAACGTAGTGGTCCATCGTCATATGCCACTTCCTCAATACAAGAGAAAAAAGCTTCAAGTGTTCTTTGGGTACCAGATTACGCCGTTTCACGTTGCTCTAATTGTCAAATTGAATTCTGGCTTGGACGAAGAAAACATCATTGTCGGTGCGCATTTCAACATTAAAGTATTTTTTATTCTTTTTCGTTTTTGTTTTCAAGTATCTTTAGTATATTATAACGTCATTTCGCAGCAATCAATCTGGCAGATGTTCTACGCTAGTTACAATTACAATCTTTGAATCATATTGGAGTCAAACATTTTGTTTTATCATTAGCAGGATTTTAATATTAAATTCTATTTTTTTTTCTTTTTTGTTTGATTTTGTATGTCTAAAACTCAACTTCACAAATGCGCGTATTTTTAGAATTTGCAATAATGGTTGACATAATCGTGGAGTCTGATTCGATGACGGAGGCGAATTAAAAGATTGAACTAATGTCAGATTGGCTGTAATAAATATATTTTTCTCATTTTGTACAACACTCGTGATTAACAGATATAAATTTAACTTTAATATGATTGTGTTCAGTTTATGGTCTTATGATTGATTTTCCAAAATGAACATTGATTTGAATTCCAATTTATCTAAACTCTTCTATATTTTTGCTTACAGATCATGTGGCGAAATTTTTTGTGCTGACTGCTCGGAATTTTGGGCGCCGTTACCATTTGAAAAGCTCTTCAATCCAGTGAGACTATGTGGTTCTTGTTATACAACTGTTACAACGCAAGTGAACGAATGCCGTGCTTCTGCTGACCCTATCTCAAATGTAGTGGAACAGCCTTCTGCAAGCTCTCACGAGTAGTTTTTGAATTGTTTCCTTTTTTTTTTATTTTTGTTTTATAAGCTTTAGGGTTCTAACGTTAAAAACAATATGTAAATATAATATACTCAAATATTTATTGCATATATGTATGTTAACACTATTATAGCAAAAAAAAATATTTGTGCAAAGTTGTAGAAACACGAAATTATACAAATTTTGTTAGATGTATCAATGGATATATACAATATGAACACAATTGTACATTCAAATACTAAAATAAACGAATTACAAAAAAAAAAAAGAAAACGAAAATCATTTACTTGCATTGTTAACTCATTCATTATAGAGTTTTTTTGTTGATCAAATCATAGACGCCATACAATCTCTCTTGCGTGGCTAAGCAAGTTGTCTGTCGACCAAGTTATTAAGTTATATTATATAAATCGAAATTTAATGATTATTTGCCGTATCTTATCTGCTCTCACCACAATTAATACAATTGAGTTGTACTGTGTGTAGTACAAAGGTCATTCTGATTATTGAGTGACTAAATCAAATACAACTAAAAAATGAAAATCAATTTCAAAATGATTGCTGAATAATCGAGGTGCTATCACCCTTATAGCTCTATAAGCTCTATAAGTTTGGCGCTTATCGGCCAATCGAATGTAACCATTTGCGAATATTCGCCAATTGTGCTGCCAGATACTGCCAGGTTGTAGTCATTGAACCGACTAGAGCTCTGTGTATGCAACAGGAAATATAGATTTTGACAATATGTAGCTTAAAACTATAACAATTTTCGAGCTGAAATCGTGTTGTGAAATAAGAATGTAACATCAATTTAGTGGTGAAACCTTGTTCCAATGAAACGTACGAAAATCGTTTGAGTTTTGACAAAGTAATGGCAGTGGGATTTGTATCAATGGAAACATAGTAAACCTCAGATATGCTCGTCATTGTTTAATGTTGATTCAGTTTTCCAATAACTAACAGTTGACATTTTTATTGACTCTGCTGATTGAAGATAAATCAGTCAAGAAGGCAACCATGAATGACCAGGCATCCTCTGAATACTGCACATTAAATACCCTTGGCATACAAAGTCATCAAATTGTATTATTATAATACCCTAAGAGAACGCTGTAAGTAAGAACGTTGCTGTCGACAGCGGGTAACCGACTGCGATATACTCCGATGCCAGTTTAATGCCAGCTGATAACTGATGGCAAACAAATTTCATGAGTGAAGTTGGCCATGAAATAATCATTAATATAACTCTCAGATTTGGTGATTCTAGCCTTAAAATTGTGGAAGAATAAGTGTGAATTGCACTTATCGATTTTTATCGATATACAAATATTCCAAATATTCTTTATAGTAACCCAATATACTCCTCCAACTTCGTTATTACAGTATACAAATCTCAGCAAACTAATCGAGACAGACTGACAGACACACTGACAGACAGACAGAGGAGGCTGGAGTCTGGCCAAAAGTGTTGAAAATGAAATCGTGTACGCATAAAACGTGCATTCAAATCTGTCATTGTTTAAGGCGCGAAGAAAGAATTGGCAGTCGCCTCCCGAGGACCCGCCCCCATTAACCACCAACCATCGAGCCAGGTCACGGCACGCACATGGTGCTTGAAATTAAATGGGCTGCGTGTAAGATTTACTCAGCATATATATATATATAAATATATATATATATATATATATATATATATATATATGTGTGTGGGTGTGTATGTTGTGTGTGCTGTTAAAATGCTGACGAGGACTCAACTACTCCTCCTGCAATTCCTGCTGCTCCTGGTGTGTGTGTGTTGTCTGGGCTTCCTTCCACCCGCTTTCACCCATGGACCCTCACTGCAAATGTACACGTATATATACATACATATATATATATATATATTTTTTTTTTCTGGTTTTCTTTTATTGTTTTTATGATTTTGCGGGGTAGGGTATTAAGTACATTGTTGTAATCTTGCTACGCGACTGAGTAGGTCTTTAGTCTCAAGTTTAAGTTGTGCTGATCGCGTTTTGCTTAATGTTTCAAGCTAGAATATTTAAGTCGAAAGATATGTTTAGTTTCCCTGATTGACAATTGGGTTTTATATTTCGATTCATTGAAGATTATCGATTGAATATGTTTGGGTATATTTTTAACGCTTGTCGTACACATTTCTTGTGACGAACTGAAAGAGATGAATCCGATCCTATTCCTGATCAACATCACTAGCCGAGTCGATATACCCGCTTATACTAACCAGATTTGAAGCGGGGCTCGAATATTAAAAAATAAAATGTATCTTATAACACCCTATTCATTTTCCAAACACATTTTTCGATTTTCTAAACTAACATTTCAAATATTTTTTACACATATCTAAAAAATGCCCATACACTTTTATCGAATGCTAACGATTAACATACACCAAAAATTTTGAAACCATTTTAAAAAAGGGAAAGGTTAAGAACCCAATAAGAGAGAGGGAAAGACAGAGAGAGAGAGAGAGAGAGAGAGAGAGAGAGAGAGAGAGAGAGAGAGAGAGAGAGAGAGAGAGAGAGAGAGAGAGAGAGAGAAGCTGATACTAAGCAACAATTGAAGGGTTCGCTAATTAGCTTAATCAAAGTAACAAGATAAAGGGTTCCATTGGAATTGTAAGTGTATGCCAAGTTCGTTTGAAAGACATTTGCTTGCTTGCTTACTTTGTTTTTTGTGTGTGCTATATTCGCATAGATGAGCAGCAGTAAAATTAGGAAAAGCACAACAACAAAAAACAGCAACAACAACAGCAACAGCAACAAACAACTGCATAAATGGATTGGGCTGCTGAGCTGCTTTTTTGCTGGTGACTTGCTTTGGCTGCAATAAACTTAACTCGATTAATTAGCGTTAAAAAAGCACGGATTGCAGCGGACTGAAGATTTAATGAATAAGTGTGCCATAAAACGAGCTACTTGCTTTCATCTTCTTCTCAGCCTTCTTCTACACATTCCATCCCAACACTACCCTTATCCGGCTACCGTTCACCTTTTGTTCAGTGCAAAAAAGAAAAATATTCACAGTTCATTTTTTGTTTCTATGAAATGCCGCCAGTCGACATTTAATTGAAATGCCATTGCGTATACGCATATTAGGCAAATTTGGCCAATAAGTCACTTTAAGTGGAGAAAATGTACAAAGACGACAGTGAACGGCCCCCAAGACGAAGCACTAGCAAAGACTTGCTTTATTTCAATTAACATAAAAAACAAAGCAAAATCACAATATTAAATATGAACTCACCAATATTAAAGTCGAACAACAGCTCGGCACAAATTTCATCGCTGGCAATGTCAACGTTGCCCAGGGGCATCTGGCAACTGTCGCTGGTATGAACCAAATCCACACTGTATATAAAATGGAATTATTTGCTATAGACGCCTGAATACATTAGCACCTGACAATGTATTGGAATTTTACATGGGTAAGGATTTGTTTGTGGTTTGAATATATAGCCAAGTGGCAAAGTCAGTCAATAATTACGCTGCTCTCAGCAGCATTCTCTTATTGCCACTACTAGTAAATCACCTTAAAGTTCCAACTGCTTTAATTTCTCACTTTTTTTTTTGCTTATTGTAATTGAGAGCATATAATATATTCAGAGTCATTTATTAACCCTGACATTTGTCGACTCGAGTTGAGCAGAGTTTTCTTTATTGAGTTTTCCAACTTTACAACTGTCAAGCTTATGGTCAATTTAATTTGCGACAAGTAAGAGTGCTGTAGTCGAGTGAGCTCGACGACGATTTACCCTGAACCCATCTGTTAAATATATTCTAAAACTATTGGCAAGTTTCCCTATAATAAGTTTTGCACCCAAATGTGAGCAGGTCTGCAAGTGCACTCATTTCCTATAGCAAGCTCGGGCACTGAACTGGTCTGAACTGATCCTAGCTGACTGGCAACAAACACGTGCATATACATAAATACATACATACATACACATATACGTACACGGAATCGTAACGGGGTAACGGGGCTCTGCAGAATACACACAAAGACATATTGACGCTCGCGTCGATTATCCTGTCATCTCTTTCTCACACATGCGCTCGCATATTGATGCTTGCGGCTGCTGATGGAAATGAGATCCATAAGATAACAATAACTTGGCTCTTTCCAATCCGATCTTGATTCAATTTGGGCAGTTGGTCAATAATATGCAATTGCATATTATATATTAAGTAGAAAATTCTGCCTTTAAAATTGTGGCATTTATTGCTATCGGAAATCTGAATGCATCGATAATCGAGAAACGGAGGCAGTTATCGATAAAATAAAGCAAACTTGATCTGCGCCTGGTATACGAGAACCTATATTCCCAATTTGAAGTCTCTAGCTCTTATAGTCTCTGAGATCTGCGTGTTCAGACAGACGGACGGACAGACGGACATGGCTATATCGACTTGCCTGTTGACACTGATCAAGAATATATATACCGTATGGGGTCGCAGATGCCTCCTTCTGCCTGTTACATACATTTGCACAAAATCATTATACCCTTTTTACCCATTTTTAATGGGTGCAGGGCATAAAAAGGGCTTCATAATGTTGGAAGAAATTCGGAGATTGGCCAATTATTGGGGAAGATACAACAGTTTGAAGTTGAAAGCAGAAACTTGAAACGTAAATTTCTCGATTTCGTTTCAAAAATTCGTATTTTCCACTTATATAAAACGGGCTTCATAATGTTGTAAGAAATTCGATAAGATATTATGTGGTATAATTACTATAAAATTATATGGTATAACTGCCATTTTATTATTATATTGAGAGTTTTATATTTATTAAAAAGGAAGTGTTAATTATGAAAATTAAAACAATATAAAATAAAATTGCGAAGGATATTTTTTTCTGTAATACTAAATTTGAAATTTGGCCAAAAAAACTTGGCTTAACATTTTTTTTAGATAAAGATTTGTTTTTAGAATATTATCGCATTTTATATATTCATTTCTTGAATTTAGAAAAGGTTTATCTATGAAATTAATCAGATTTTGAATGCAATTTAAATATATTTTTTTTCTGTTTATACATCTTTATTAATTTATATTTTTGTGTTCTAGTGTTATAAATGTAATTTAAAGTATAGTTAAAAGTTCCGAAACCCTCTGCGGTTTCGGACATTATCAGTTTGTGGGGCTGTCTGTCTGTCTGCCTGTGTATGTGAGTGTGTCTGTGTGTGTGTGTGTGTGTGTGTGTGTGTATGTGAGTGTGTCTGTGTGTGTGTGTGTGTGTGTGTGTTAGCCATCTAC